AGTAAGGTAATTAGATAAAGCCCTTTCTTATCTATTGTCCTAACTAGTACTAAGGTATAGATATATAACTCTATTTTTAAACTTTTAATAAAAGCTTTAGGTTTTTAAATATAGCTTTTCTATATATTTATACTTTAATTAAAGTACTATTCTAAGTATTTTATATTAAAGATAATAGCTAATAAGTATCTAACTAGTAATTTAATAAATAAGTCTTATTTAAGCTTATCTATAATATAAAAATAATTTTTATAATACTTTTAATAATTCTATATATTAGTAGCAACTTAGGAAATATTATATATAATATTATAATATATATATTTCCTATTAAAGCCTATTATTAATAATAGTTAAGAGTTCTTAGCTTTAATAAAACTAAGTTTAAGTATAAATATATTTAAAATAAGGTTTAACTTTAACCTAAAGTCTAGGTATATATTATTATTTTTACATTTTATTTTTATTATTATTTTAATAACTAATTTAATTCTTTTAATAGTCTTAATATAGGAATAAAAGTCTAGTAATAAAATTATTTCTCTAAGATATTCTTTTATCTTTTTCTAACTTTTTTAAAGCTTTATTAGCTTTGTTCTTAGCTTTAGCTTATATAGCTTATATAGTTTTAACTTTAGCTATATTCTTAGGTTTTTTATATTCTATTAATAAATACTTAAGCTTTTTATAATTTTAATATATATATTATAACTTATTACTTTTTTCTATAAGCTTTCTACTAAACATTTATTAAAATCCTAAAGAAACTAAAATATTAAACTTATACTTCTTTAAGTTTAATAGGCTAAAATTATTTTAAGGTTTTTAATTTAATTTCTATAAATTTAAATTAAAAGAACTTAATTAGCCTTTATTAAAACAATTAATATTTTTTAAGTTTAATATTATTTTTAACTATTTTTTTTAAATAATAAAATATATATAAGGGTTCTTTCACCCTTTTAATAAACTTTTAAGCTTTAAACTTTTTTATTAAAAAGTTTTTTATAAAGGTTTCTAATTTCTTTATATAATAATTATAATTTAAGATAGATTAATTAAGTTTTTAATAAGTAGTTAGGTACTAGTCTAAAGCTTTATTTACTTAATTAAAATTAATAAAGTATAGGTTTAAAAAATAGTTATAAAACTCTTCTTATATTATATTATTTTTATATATTTTTCTATACCCTATATATACTATTAAAACCTTGCTTTAAAAGGCTAGATAAATTTAATAAACTTTTTTAATATTATTAAAATCAACTTTAGCTATTTTAAGTTAATTGTTATATTTATATATTTATTATTTATATTACTTTATTATAAAATTATTTTTATATAATAAGTAATTAGCTAACTTAGGCTTATAATAATAAAAAGGTTTTACTTAAATAGGCTAAAGACTAAAAAAAATCCTTTAGTCTAAAGCCTACTTTTTAAATATTATAAGTATTATTACTAAGATCTTTTTACTTACTTATCTTATACTTATAAATAGTAATAACTAATTATAATATAAAGATCTATCTTATAACCTATTACTAGCTAAGCTATAATATTTAAAATAAGAATTTAACTTATTTATTAAATTATTATAATCTAATAACCTAGGAGGGTCTTTATTTTTATTAATATAACTATAAGCTAATATATTTTATTTATATACTTACTCTAGTCTAGCTTACTATTTATACTATATAATATCTTAATTAAGTTATTTAATCTTATTTTTAATATTTTACTAAGTATTATTAATACTTAAATTATTTAAAGGAGTTAATACTTCTTTATTAGAACCCTCTTAAGAGTTTATTAGAAAACTATTACTTTATATATAAATATTTTATATCTTTATTATAATACTTTAAAATAAATTACTAGCTTTAAAGCAGTATAATAATTATTATTATAATATATTACTTATATTTTATATATATTTTTATATAGGGATTGTATTAGCGGCTAGTATATATATTATAGCTATTCCTTAATCTTATATATTTAAAGTTATATTTTAACTTATTCTAAATTATATAAAGTAAGGAGGAATTAGAATTATTAAGACTTAAATAATATAATATAGAATAGTATTAGAAATATATATAAAAAGGCTCCTATTAGATTCTAATAGGTTTTTAACAAGTATTTAATTTTATAAATATTTTAGAAAAATTATAAAAGAAGAATTAATTTCTATTATAAGAAAGTAGGGATCCCTATTATTTAATATAAGTTCCTCCACCTTTAGTAGTAGGTCTCTAAGACGTTCTCTTACTCCTTAGTAAGCTAGATTACTAATCTACGTTTCTATATACTAGTAAACTATAATATAATAAAATTTTTATATTTATAATTAAAGTTTAATAAAAAATATTTTAAAGAATATTATTAATAATTTATTTATTTTAAAGGTATAAAATACTTTAATTCTTTTAAAAATAATATAAAACTAATTAATATACTTTAAGAATATTAAATTATAAACTATATAAAATAAAAAATATTTTATTAAAAATATTTTTCTTTAGCCTTTATAAGTAAAAGTTCTAGTAATAGTTTATATAAATACTTATAAAAAGTATAAATAGTAGTTTCTACTTTTAACTACTTATATATATAAGCTTAGTAAAAAATTATAAAGTTTTAGTAAAGTAAACTTTTTTTCTTTATTTTAAAACTTTTATAACTTCTTTAATATTATATATATTTTAAAAATTTTTAAAGATTTAAAGTTTATATTAAAAGTAATTTTAGTAAGTAATTTATTAAATATATATACCCCCTATTAAATAGGGATTTTTTATAAAAGTTTTATTTTTTTAATTTATAATTTATATATAGCTTATATGTAGTTTATATATAAAAGTAAATATATACTATTTATACTTTTAGCTAGCTACCTATACTTTTTATATAGGATATTATTTAAAACTTTTTATTAATATTAATAGCTAATAAATCTATTATAATTTATATATATTTATTATATTTAATACTTAAGTTTTTTTATAATTAACTTTAATATTAATTTAAAAGTTTTAATTATTAATATTATTATTAAAGTAATCTTTATTATTATTTATCTCTACTTACTAACTTTACCTCTTTTATAAGAATTATATTAGTTTTTTTAAACTTATTTTATAATTAATTTAATCATAAATATTATTATTATAATAAAAAAATATATATAATAACTTTCTATACTCCCTTCTTAGTACTAAGAGTTTTTTAAAAAGTAATATTAAAGTTTTTTAATTAGATTTAAAATATTAATTATTAAAAACCTTATATAAAATTAAACTTCTTTTTAATATAAGTTTAGCTAGAATTTTAGTTAATATTATAAATTAATTAAAAGAACTTTTAGGCTTATAAGGGGCCTAGTATTTAAGTTTATATTTAGTTTTATCTTACTTACTTTATAGGCTATTATAATAGAAACTTCTATAAGCTATTAAAGTAATATTATTAAAAATTTATTAAAGAACCTTTTCCCTTTATTACTTTATATATTTATATAATTACTTTAAATTAATAATGCCCTTTAAGCTCTAGTACCAGCGGATTATAGGACCTTGAGGGACATAGTAGGCGTTAAGAGAATTTATACTATATTATGAAAGGCAAAGTTCCAATCGTCGATCAATACAGGACTTTAAACTTGGCCCATGTGTGAAGGCCTGTCATTGAACAGCAGATTCCTCATCATGTACGAACTTCAGCTGTTCTATCGCCTTTGATACGAGTCCCTTGATAGATCTGCAAGGGCAACGCACGCAATCTTGACTGATGTCCATTTGTTCCTGTGCGACTTTCATAAGGTGACGGCCGTCTTACCTGAACTCACGACCTGTCCAGCCGAGATGATAGAGCTACATCGAACGGGGATGTCTCCATGCAGAAAGTGCAGGGCTCCAGTCACTACTTGGCGTGGTGATACTCCCACGGAACACCGATACGCTGATTTCTGGGAACTTTTATCGACCCCGACAAATCTGTCCCCGCAAGAGCAAATTTTGCAATGTTCGAACGTAGAGCTGAAGATACCACCTGTGACTTGCGGTGTCGGCGTAAGCGCGCGATCTGCAAAGCCACAACGTGTTATACTAAGCTGACAGCGGGATCATCACGGCCGCGGTCCGTTGACGTAAGTCTGGCGCCCAATTTCTGTGGTCAACAGGAGGGTGGTTGGCTGCATGATGGCGCAGACGCTAGCAGCATTCTACGCGCAAACAAAGAGTCAACTCTGGCTTACTCAAGCCACTTGTCTTGGCTCTCCAACACTATCACATGGTGGTAAGCATTTCGTGGTTCGGTCTCCGTACGCTGCCTTACGAAGGCTTATTCATCCTGTTTTAGAGGAATAGTGCTCAAGGATACTTGGATTCTCCATCTATACCCGGAAATCGGAGATGCTTCGTAGAGGTCCTGCCGAAGATTGACACTGTGTATCCTTGAGCAGATTTGGAGGCATGGATGAATCTTGGATCGCTGATTGGAACCGGGACATTTTTCACAGCAGTGCCGACAGGTGAAATTCTCCGCACCGCCGATAGGCATCCTCAAAGCCCGATTTGGCAGCATCTGTGAGTGGCTCTAAGCTGCATGAGAGTCCCATACGCAGGTCCATTCGAGACATCCCAATCCAATGTACAACTGATCGAATCTCTGGATCCAATGATGGCTAAGAAATGGGGGACCACTCCTTTCCCTTGCCTCATTTTTGAATTGGTAGCGTTCATTGCTCCATCAAAGTCATAAATAGATGATACATGAGAGGCCCAGGCCATCTGGAACGTTTCATCACTCTCTCTTAGATACGTATCATGAAGTGACCTCTCTCTAACTTGTAATCTATACTTGTGTTCCCTATACCCCTTGCTGAAAACTTTCACAGCTATCGACTGTTGGTGACAGAACATTCAAATCATACCAAGCACACCGCCGATCAGGAAAGAATCCTGGAAGCCTTCTGGTAGCCTTATCTGTCAGACATGGACAGCGCTCTAATGAACGATATTGACCGCGTGAGTGGGCTTAGCAAGCAAGGACACTATGACTTCCTCATTGTTGGAAGTGGCCTGGCCGGCGGAGTTCTTGCAAGACAACTCATTGGGAACGACAAGAAGGTTCTCTTGATCGAAAAAGGCGGATTAGAATTCTCGACTCACTGTCTCAATACATCCCGCCCTCACTGGCAAATCGGCAGCACCGAAGGACCTTCTCAGGACAACGATGCAGTATATGCAGCAGTGAAGCAAAAAGTCCATACCGCTGCAGGCTCTGACCCTTACGCCGGCGGTCCAGTCTACAATCTCGGCGGTCGAAGCAATATGTGGGGCTTGTACAGTCCAGCACTGGCCGAAAGAAAGCATCGCAAATACTTTCCCAGCGAGATTTCCGACTACCTCGAAAAGGGAGGTTATCGGAAAGCTTTCGGCCTCTTTATAAATGAATCGCAAGATTATGTCAAGAACGTGTACCCACAAAACGACATTGCAGTGACCGAGATGAGCGACGCTGAGACGAACTTGAATGAAGCTATGGAGCAATTTTACAAGAATTGGATGCCTACCACGAAATCATTCCCGAAAGTTTCTTTATCGCCAATGGCAGCAGAATTCAAATCTTCCGAGCTGTACAATTTTCCACAAGGCGCCTACAGCACCGTCGATTTTCTTCTCGATCGCACCTATGCTCGAGATGCGAACCTAACCATCCTACTAAACACCGAAGTCTTAACTTTCCCCATCGATACCGATAAAGATATACCCTCGGTGATAGTAAGATCCTCTTCCAACAGCGGTATCTATCGCCTTTTCGCCAACAAAATCATCCTCTGTGCTGGCACCCTCGGAACAGCCGCGATCGCCCTCAACAGCGGTCTACAGAAGTCGGTTCCCCTCGTCGGCAAGGGACTAACCGATCACGAGATCTGGGGTATTCGATTCCTCCAAAAGAAGAAGTCTGACGATGTACTCAAAGACCCCATGAAATGGCAATGCAGAATGATAATCGGATAATCGGATACTCGGACGAAGGCGGGAGCCGCGACGTACTGCTGAACGTCGCGATCAATGCCAACTCCTTCCTCGCCCGCGGATTTTGCACATCTTAGATCATCAGCAAGAACGGTCATCTTGTCCACCAAAACGCCGCAGCAGACGACAACGACAACGACGAACACGACACGATCAACATCACCATCGAAACCCACACCGACCTCTCCCAAGTGAACGAGGTCCTGAACACCCCCACCTCCGACCCAACCGTCTATATCAAACACGAAGTCAAGAACCAGAAATCCTACGCCAACAAGCAAACGGAGATGCAAGACCTCGCCACCCAGATCCGCAACAAACTTCTGATTATCAGCTGCACCGATCCATCGTCTCCGCTCTCCAGGGCAGGATTCGGAGCTGTGGCGCATGAGGTCGGGACCATGCGGATGCAAGGGCCCAAGACCAAGGGCAAGGGCGAGTATGTGATTGATAAAAACTTAGAGTTACAGGGTGGTGGCGGGCTGAACGGTATTTATGTGTGTGATTTGTCTATTTTTCCCTTCAGCCCCCCTGCAAATCCGTCGTTGACGCTGGCGGCGATTGCGATGTGGCTTGGAGATAGACTGGTTCAAGGGTAGGGAGAATGGTGGTAATCTGCATAGCTTCTTGGATAGGTAAATGTGTGTGTGTATTTCTCTCTCTTTGTGCATTCTCTTCTTTTTTGCGTTGTTATGATGGACGAAGCTTGGTAGGATACGAAACTATACGAACGATTTAGGTAATGAGAAAAAAGTCAGCGAAGACTAAACTAAAGATTCAAAGAACGGAGAATTGAACTGGCGGGGGCAATCCACACTCTACATCTCGCAATATTCAAAACTCGCTCATCTCAATCACAGTCTATATTTGCGCTCCGTCAATGTCAGTCCAGCGCCCAACTTCTATGATTCATCTAAGGTGCGTTTTCAGCGTTGATTACGGGCCCAAGTATTCTCCACTCTGACACGCACAGTAAGCGATGGCGTGATGACAGGCTGGCAAGGCTAAGAGCCTAGAAGGTCCATTTGGTATCACGTTGGCAAGAGAAGAAAAGTCACCGAGACTCGCAACAAGGATGCTGGGGAATTCCCTAACCCTTGATTTGGTTTGACAGGTCCAAACAGGTATGGTGCCGTGCTGGAAAGACTTCAAAAAGTGGAGCATTACCCAAGGTGGGCGCTGGGACCGACCTCCCGATCTCCTTTCTTCTTCATTGGCTACCTTGACCGGGCATCCCATTTCCTCATTCTTCCGCCGCCGCCCAAAGATCTCACCCCTGTTTTGTACTTCCTGACCACACCCCACAGCCAACAGAGGAGCTCGCCAAGCAGCAGCAGTGCTATAGGCAGGAATGGTCCGCGGAAATCCCGTGCTACTCGATGAAAATGGTACCATGTTGATCAGAAATGGCTGGATGAGATCTAGAAGACTTAAACAGCCGCATAGATAGATTAACCCCATCTCTTAAGTCCTCAAATAGGAATGAATCTCGCCATGGAACTTGATGCTAAAGCCCGATTTCTCCTTGAAGATTCTTTCGACCACCAATGGAGCAGAGCGAAGGGCATCTACCAGAGTCCAGCCGTCTAAGAACATCACGTAATTCAGACTAAAACACTGCAGTGTATGCAGGTCATTTCTCTACTTGACAGACGGACTCGAGGATTCAATCCTATTGGGACAACATGCTATAGAACCGTATCTGTAGCTAGCTGACTCCACACCGCTGAGGTTGATGTAGGTCAGGAGCATAGACCTCCTCTTTACTCATGAAGATCGGTGAGTCCATGCTCATTGATTTGGCGAATGACAGATAATCCACGATTGTCTATGTGACTGCAGGAGTGTATGCACAACTAGTCTGAAAACCTTCTCAACCAAGTAGGCTGGTCTCCCAAAAGAGACTGACACTTGCATGCTGGGCAAGAAACTTCTACCTCTCTGGTCAGGCGACTATACATCTGTGGTAGGCAAGTTCGCTTTCGACTTTGACACAGTTTTCACTTCCGGCCCGCGGTAGGACCCATCACCGTGATCGCCGGCATGCATTAGCCTGATTGAAACGAAAGAACTATACTCTCGGCCAGCCACTCAGAATGCATCTTTGCCTAAACTCTCCGATAATGAGGCTGGCGCTAGATCAATATGACAGCTGACACATACCTTATTTAATGCAGCTGAGCATGCTATGCATCTACAGCAGTTGGCCACGGAAGTCTAGCCCTAATGAACTTAGTGCAGTTGTTTTCTCCGCTACTAGTTGCAGGTGCATGCACAGGGAACGCGAGAGGACGAGCCCTTTCACCATACGAACGGCTTCTTTCAAGCACACCTTCCAAATTCTAGACAAGGATCAGCGTCTTCAACAGCGATTTCAGCTGCTCAGAATGATATGAGGCGTTCTATCGCTAGACAAGTTCAGTCCATGCAGCTTTATCACGTAATTGTCCCGAATCGATGATGAATCTTTGACGGATCATGGATGTATAAAAAGTCGAGAAATCGTTGGCGAAACAACACGGTATCTCTTCTGACCAACAGCCAAAAAACAATCTAGGAAGGAATTTTCTCAATATCACTCGGAGCTACAGTGCCTCTGTACGACAATACCCTGCCTGGAAGCTGAACCAGATACTGACCTTAAGGGGCAGACAACGTTCTACTCCTCTGCAAACATAACTCGCTTAGCTTGACATCTCCACCACAAGATGGCTTGGACCTCAACCCACGGCATCGGAGCCATCCTAGGATCAGGCTCAAAGTTCAACATCGCAGTCAAACCGGGGTTTGCTCTCATCACCCCCAGCGACGCCAGTCAACTCAGCGGAGAGATCCACTTTCAGATCCCCCGCCCACCAAAAGGCTACAACTCCGTCTACGCCATCAAGCTGGAGTTCTCTTCGCAATCCGCCTCCGTGGACAGCTTCGCCGTCTACATCGGGAACAAGAACAAGCAATCGGAATCGAACCTGCAGTGGACTACGACGGAACAATCTAGGTTCGCCAACGTACTGGCCCTGGGAGAGGAAAGTGGAATTGAAGTGGTCATTGGGATTTCTTTTGATGCCATCGGCTCTTTGCTTAAGTTTCAGTCCGTCGATGTTAAGTATGATTGAGGAGTTATTCGATGGGCTCCAAGAAGCTGTGGCATAATCGCTGCCAGCACCAATCCAATAAACTGGTCGCATTTATCTTAGCCAGCAGCGCCAAATAGTTGATGGAAAGCAGATATTATGATGAGATGAATACGAAATGCAGTAATCATGAACCCTTTCATTTCATCCAAGACTTGCTTGATTTAAATAATCTGCTCAAAGCCCTCCCGACCTCTCGAATTTCCATTAAACTTGCCTGACTGGTGGCAGTGTTCGCGCGCAACCCTGAATGAAAGTGTGCCTCTAAAATGATGTACTAGAGGAGTGTGCTGGCTGAGCCCTTCATCAAGCCCTAAGCCCTCCCCTTTCCCTCCTAAGTATTAGACAAACGGGGGCTTGCCTCTCGCCACCTACACCTAGGCGCCTTTAAGCCTCCTATCCCTGAAAAAGCAAGGGAAGACGAGCGATAATGGTGAACATCACACTAGCGGATCAAGAAGCCTCACTGCTGAACAGTCGAAGCCAAAGAAGAGGAAGAGGGCAACGAGCTTAAAGGTAGTAAAGAAGGAAATATCTAAAGAAAAGATAATAAAGAAAGAACTAAGAAAAGAGGGGATTTAAGTAGAAAAGGTAAAATAAAAATAGAGAAGTAACTTTATAAGACGCAGTATTATTTATTATTATAATTAATTACAATAAAATAATAAGATAAATAAAACCTATTGCCGGATAAAGAAACTAGAAGATCCTATATTATAAATTTATATAATATTCTATCCTGCGATCTATAGTAATAAAAGATAAGATAAAGTGATAACCAATTACAATAGACTACACGAAAGACGCTTATATAGCTATATATTAGTCATAAAGACGAAAAAACGGTTAGACAATACCACTACAGACTCTGTAAAGAATGCATACCGCGCGTGCAAGTCGGGAAAAAATGTGCGTGAGCATCTCTGCGTTGTCCCTCCCTCCCTCCCTACCCTTCCCTATACATGTCACGGCAAAACATCAAACATCTCACAATAATTTTCATCAATCGCAAACCTCCATCCCGTGTTGCGATTAAGTGGTAGACCTATGTCCCTGGAGAATCTTGGAACTTGTTGGAGGGGGGGGGCCTTCTTTGACTTGGTAGTCAACGAACGCGGCCGGAGCTCAAGAGGAAAGTGCACATATTCGTGAACTCGGGTCTGCACTCGATCAGAGGGTGAGGATATTCAGGCAGATTCCAAAGGTATATATGACACGCATTGTTTGGGTTTTCTATGAAGGAGGGCTAGAGTGAATGGCACGAGAGCTGTGTAGGAGGATGGTAGAATGTACGAGAAACACTGCATAAGATTGTGTGCAATAACTTCATTCATACCAATGAAGCACTTACCCGACTCATTACCCCTCCCGATTGTCTGGGTACCATCATTACGCTTGCGCCACCTTCCTTCGTGACGCCAGACACATCAACCCTCAACAGCATCCACGGGCACCATCTTCGCATACGAGAACGCATTGGCAGCCTTAATCTGCAGCACAGTATCGACATGCTCAAACTTCAACGGCTGATTCTGTCTGGCGGCCAGCAACAGCGCCGGCTTAACGACATTCTTAATCTGCCTGCCATTCAACTTGTGCTGGGCGAGCACGCGCAATTTCTCGTCCGAGAACTCGCCATGAGCCGTCTCGCAGGTCTGTAGGAAGCTCTTCCACACATGCTTGCGACCTTGGGGCCCGAGGTCTTCGTATTGCAGCGACAGGTGGATGCGCGACTCGAATGCGGCGTCGATGTCTTGGATGCGGTTCGTGGTCAGGAAGAGGAAGCCTTCGTAGTACTCGAGCACGCGCAGGAAGATGGAGACGAGCTTGTTGCGCTCGAGATCGTGCGCGTTGCGGGAGAGGAGGAAGACGTCGGCTTCGTCGAGGAGGAGCACGGCGCGCCATTTGGTCGTCATCTCCAAGGTTCTGTTGAGTGTCTTGTCGACCTCCACGGGATCGGTGCCGAGATCGCCCGCCGAGAGCATGTACAGGGGTACTTTCATGACTTCGGCCACAGATTCTGCGGTAAGTGTTTTGCCGACGCCTGGAGGCCCGGATAAGAGCATGATGGTCCCACGACCTTTGCCTTTGATAACATCATCAAATGTGGGTTGACGTTTGACTTGGCTCTCGGCGAAGGCCAGGATGAGATCCTTGGTATTTCCATTCAAAACCAAGGAGTCAAATGCGGCGTCGTCCCAAGCCACTTCAGTAACGTCATTGATGAAGACAGAGAGCCACTTCTTGTCTTTCAGAGAGTATGCTCGCACGGTGTCCCTGCTCAAAAGGAGGTTCTCGCGACTGAGCGGGCGGTTCCTGCTTCCGCCCTTCTCGTTGTTAGATCCCTTGGTCTGGAAGCTGCTGACTTGGACTTGGGAATTGGGGTTGAAAAGATTGTACGCTGCGTGAATATTAGTCATCAGTGCACCAATGGTATCCCTTGCACGTACCAGCGGTGTCTATGATGATACGACCTTGCACGTTGTATCGAGCCGCCTGTCCGTCGACGTCTTGCTGTCCAAGTCCATCATAGGCTTTGAAGTGATATCCCCGTAGACTTTCAAAAGTCTTGCCACGCTGCAAGATTCGTTGCTCGATGTCCGTTTTGTTAGGGTGGCGCGATAGAGGCATAGCATTCAACCGTGTTAGAGGCTTGGTGCCCCGGAACGAGGGTAAAGCAAGAGACGTCATGGCCGTTCCGAAGCGCTCACCGTCCCAGTCAACGTATTGAGCCTCTATTGTACAGCAATCATTGTTTTCCGTATCCACTTTCAAACAACGATATAGTCGCTCGCTTCCGTCTTTGGAACTGAGCACAAGGCAATCAGGCTCAAACAGAGTCCACAGAAGTTCGGCATCAATGATGTTGTGGCGAGCATAGTCCTTCATCTTCTGAAGCTTGTCCTTAAGATCGACTTCTAGGATGTTCCATAAAAGTGCCAGGTGTTGCTTGGTTGCAAGATCGGTCTCATTGACCGTCGCTTGTTCAAATTCGCGCCATCTGTGGACGAATGGTGGAAAAGGGGCCTTGAACTCGAGACGTTCGAGGTCTGTGGTGATCCCGGGATAGCCTGTGAAAATGCCATGCAATGCGCGTTTGAGCAATGGGCTTTGCACCACGATCGATTCGATCTCAAACTTCTTTCGCGAGTCTGTGCTTCGCTTGTTACGCACAATGACAGCGTGCGAAATCGTCTGCTGATTCTCAGGTGGATTCTTCACGAAGTAGGGATATTTGTCGGTCCATTGCCCTCGTTTGTCCATGTAAAGATTCTTGACGGTGCATTCAAGCCCGCCACTAGAAGCTGCATTGTTCTTGCCCTTGGGTTGGGCATCCTCGCTTTTTGTTGATTCGGACTCAAGTATGGTCTGATCAGCTCGAGCGGTTAGTTCATCAGCAGACAAGGTCTTCGGAGGCTTCAAGTAGTCCTTGACAGCTGCAACGGTAGCGTTGATACCCATGATAGAGGTACTAGTCAAGCAAGGTCTTAATGATGAGGGTTGAAAAAGAAAGTAGATAAGTTGGACGAGACAAATTGAGGTTGATGTTGAAGTTAAGTATTGCCAGACAAGGCTGTGTAGGGCAGGCAACAACCCCACCTTAACGAAAGAACAGCTTCATTGGAGGATTGAAAGAACAACATCATGAGAGGGTTTGATGCAAAAGTGCGATAAGAGAAGGACCTGGTCAAGCACCACACAAATCAGGCGCTTCATTGCTGGCAATTGATTGGAGAATGGAGCAAGACGTGGGGCAGAAGTGAGCCTTGTGGTCAGTCTGGACAACGACCCCGCATCTTGCTGCCTGACACAATGCATCAATGGCACTACTCATCTCCATTGGGCATCGTGCAGAGCATTCGAAGGACCTAGTGCATATGGGAGCCTGGAGCGGCACCTTCCATCGTATCTAGGTGGCCTGAAAGATGCGCTTAAACGAAAGGGAGAGTGATAATCTCGCTATTCCTTTACTCCATATTCATATTGCAAGATCGGAGGTTTCGCATCAAGGAGCTTTGTGATCGATGATTACCAGGGAGAGGAAAGATTTAGACAGCAAGTTCACTCTTCACACGGTGTTAAAATTAAGTCCGACAAATCAAGTCTGGCCTTCTTGGCGCGCCAAGAAGACTGCAGGGCTTGGCAATGCGAATTTCACCGCCAGACCCCTGCTTGCGGGTGAGGAGAATGTGCTACCATCATCTACATTATTTATTACTGCATCTATAGATAGGTAATACCGCGACAGTCCTGGTGTGATTCGAGACAATGCAGGGTTCGACGATTCTGGACCACGATCATTTATTGCTCGTGTCTACTGGCGTTACTCTGCCCCGCCGGTTCACGCTGTGCAGTCGTTGGTCTAGACACCACAAGGCAGCTGCCATGGTGCAAGTCGTGTCTAGGGCTTGTGTCGTGTCTAATACAGACATCTTGAGGGCTCACTGCCCTCATCAGCAGAAGCAGACTCCAAGTCTCATTATGCGCAAGGCCACGGAGTATCTTTTCTAAAGGCTCCCCCACCATCCATTGTTCTCGATCCAGCCACTGACTTTCAGTTCGTTGTCAGAGCTCAAGAACCATGGTAAAGCGTGTGTCCCACTCTTCATGTGAGGAATAAGGAGATCCCTAGCAATTGGCGTCTTGAACCAAGCCCAAGACCGGTGATGCACTGCGAAGGGTACGGCAGGAGCGTGAAGTTCCCGGAGCATGTACGGTCCAGTGGGCATGGTCATTCTTAAAGCCCAGGATCGATAACGTGATGGTAATTTGAGGAGGGAGTCGATGTATGGACCGAGATGCGCTTGTTCTTCGCGAGTCGCTGGTCTCTCGGGAATTGGACCGTTCGGAGGACTCCCTGGCTGCCGGGTTGTTGGCTGGAATCCTGTTTCTTTTTCTTATCACTGGCCTCTGCGATCTGCCATGGGGCAGGCTTAAGACCATAGTGCAGAATCATGTTACCCATCTGCTCAAGAGCCGGATGACTGACCGTGCGCCAGTGTTTGCTCGCTTGTGAAAGATTGAGGAGGGTTTGAGCTTCCTCATCAAAGCTCGCTAAGTCTTTAGCAGCATCTCGCCCCTCTGGATTCGAAAATTGCTTCAGGGAGTTCGTTGCGCTCTCGAGGAGGCACTCGCAGATAATGATCTGGATCTCAGGTGCGAGCCTATTCATCGACTCCTTGGCTGGTGGCAAGTCCAAAGCTGCAATTAGATTACGATTGTGGTTTTTGGAGTTTTTGAGATCGGCGTGGGTGATGAAGATGATGGTACTTTAGCGATGATTGACGGTGTTTAAAAAGAAGAGGTGGGGGACTCAAAGTATTGTTGTAGTACGAGATTGACATTGCCCAGTACTACGTTTACAGATGGATGGTAGTGCAAGCAATCGGCCCAAGCTACTAAGCCCAATCGAGAGTGTCAAGGAGTTATAGATCGAGGACTTTGATGGGAACGTGAAAGAAGGTCATGTCGTTTGACTGACCCAAGCGTGTTACGTACCTACGTCCATAACGGGCTGAAGAGTACAACACGAATCCTCTTTCGCCACGGGTCTCTCTGTACATTGGAGACACAGCAGCGGCCTCGTACCTCAAAGTGAAACTACATTGATACCGTCCTCTGCCGAAGCATGATCCGAACAGCAAAGAATTTGGAGACCAGTCTCGAGAATATCACCTCCGAGTCTACGCACGGGCGTTCAATGTCCGTTCGCTGTGGAGACCATCACTCATACAATTTGAATGGGATAGAGACAGTCAATCCTACTGTTTGGTTAGAGTTTCTGGGTAAGTCCACCTGCAGCCCCACAGACCTGTTGCGCTGGAACACTTACTCCACAATTCTGTCAAATATGCCTGCTTGTCTCATAGTATAGCGCAACGGTTTTCGGACACTTCTTCTACTCGCCAAGGGAAATGAGACATTCAAAGCGTGCATGACACCTGTCGGCAGACCTCTCGCGACCGCCAGAAATCCCACCACGGACAAAAACCGGGCAATTCAAATACCTACATATCTCACCCTGCTTCACGGCTTCAGCGAACGAACGGTACACCAACATGTGGCTCCACCCAATCCTCACCTTCCTTTTCACCACCATCCTGCACGCACATCCTTCTCTCACTTTCCCCACCAACATACCCAACCTTTCCTCGGACACAGACGACCTATCTTCCCTCTCCATCCTCAACACCACATCCTCCCCCATCCCCATCCCCATCCCTTCAAACAACAGACCGACCTGCTACCCACCCCCACCCCCTCTATCCCCCTACTTCCCCCCCTCCTCCTCCACTTCCCCCTCATTCACCTACAACGCCTGCGCCACCGCGCTTCTAACCTTCCATGCCTCTCTCCTCGCCCGTATCACCAACCCTTCCTCCCCCCTTTCCCCCCTTCCCCTCCTCCCCCCAACCCCAACCCCGGCCCCCCCATCCGCTTCTTCTACCCCCCCGCCCCCCTCCGCCGGCCTGGAGCTGCAACTCCCCGTCTTCCACAAAACAGCCAGCTGTGCCTTGGCGGTCGTGAGCACTAAACTCCTCGACGAATTTTCGAGGAGGGAGAGTATACCGTGGGATTGGGGGCCGTTGAGCCCGAGGGCGGTTAGGGCGTCGGAGACCACGGCGACGGCGGGGATGGTGCTGGGCGATCGAGGATTTTTGGGGGTGTTGGGGTGTTTGGCGCGGGGAGAGGGGGAGGCGGAGGGAGGGGGCAGGCGGGGTGGGTCGCTGTTGGTGAGTTTTGTTTTTTCGTTTCCGGTCGACTTAGGGGGGAAAGGACGGGAGGGGAGGGAGGGGAGTGGAGTTGCAAGCTAACGCGATCATCGGCATGTAAGAAGGGACGTATCTGCACCTCTTTGTATGGCCGGGAGAGGGCACCAAATTGGCGGGCATATTCGACATACCTGGCGGGACGGTTTTGTGATGGGCGTTCGGATGACGATGGTGGATGAGAGGTGTTGGATGGATATCTATGCAAGTATGTGTGAGTGGGATAGTGAGGAGGGGATCGTGCTGCATTGAGAAGGAAAACTCCTCCTTGGAAGAATCTGGCAACTGTCTTGAATCATGGCAGAAAGTGTGTTGCTCATCGGAAGCTTGTGCGGGTGCTATCAGATTGATCGGGACCAGAAGGAGAGGCTGGGGTCATCGAGAACTGGGAAGAATGTCAGCGTCTGTGGGCCTGGCATTGCCACAACCCCCTTGCGTCCGCCCCCTTGCATCCGCCTCCTTGCGTACAATTACAACCGCTACGACGAAACGCCTCTACATCTCCTCCCAACCCTTCAAACCCTGTTGACTGAACATCCAAGCCTTCGCATCTAGCGAGACCAGAAGAACACCCGACGAAGTCCACAATGCAACCAAAGAACAGAACCCATATCTCAGAGCTCCTCTACGGACCCGCCGCGCTCCCCTGCTAAGTCCTCACCGTTCCCGCAGTCTTTATACCCTAGACTTACTACCCCTGCAAAGATCACTCTAGGTCTTAACGCAATTGCTTCCTCAATATACCTAGCGTCTACCGCACTTTCGATCCTGCGTCTCACTATTAGGCTCTAATACCCACCAGACATAATGCATTCCGGTCCAGGTTGGATGGCCCGATAATAAACGGGCCACTCCGTAATTAGGTTACCCCATTGTCAGTGTGCAGGGAACAATGTAACCTTCTATCCTTTTCATTAAGGGTGCGGCAGAGCGGTGCGGCACATTCTACCTTATTCATCGCATGGTCTAAGGATAAGGTAGACGCTGTCACATGTGACTGACCACTTGATTCCTTTGACCAAATGTCTATCTTGTTGACGAACTTATTAGATTAAACAGTCCATTAATTGACTACTTATCCATCTATCTTGTTCATACTAACGCTGCTTTTAGTGGAGCAACAGTAGTTCTGGGCAGTCTTACCTGATTAGTCTTTAGAAGGTATTTACCGTCAATATACTATACTGGCTTTGAATTCAACACTTCCGTTGATAGGCTGAGTATCAACCTTATCATCGATAGGCCAAGAGGTAACCGTATTATCCGTATGCCAAAAGAATAGGTCAGCCCAGTGTCATTTGAATCTTTAGATTAGCCGACCCGCAGAGGTACTTTGTATTGACAGGGGTATACAGAAGCAGCACTGTCTAGATAACGAAAAGGACACTTATCTATCCAAAGGGACGCTCATTGGATAGACGTTTGATCAATAAGAATAGGCCACATGGTCATTTACACCCATTGGTCAATGAGGTGTGACAGACGTTGTCATCGTCCACTAACGTTCGGGCGATAAGAATGCTTGTTTCACGACGATAAGGCGGCATCTTACGTCCATGAAAGTTGCCAGTCCGCCCATGTCTATGAATCCCACCCTCCAGGCTCTCCATCTGTAGACTCTCCTCGAACACTTTCCCTCATGGCCGTTCAGGGCTCTTGTTACGTGATTGTGTCGCCTGATCCGACCAAGTCGACACTAGGCATCGATGTAAGCTGAATTTGTGCTGTGCTCCCGAATTATTCTGACCGAGTTTTCATTAGGATGGTGTTGCAGGACGATATTTTTTTATCAAGTTCGGCGACGGCGCAGTCGCTGGGACAACTCGGTACAGCACAAACAACCCGTCGTACTGGTACGAAGACCTAGATTCTTTCCGATTGGAGTCAAGGAGAGTTACTTACGTTTGCGACAGGCAGGTCCAAAACAACAATTGCTTCAGTGGCTACCAGTATACTCACGGGATTACCGGCAGCAACGACACCAAAATTGGAATCTCTCTACAAACTACGATTCTACAGCGCACCAGAGCTGCCGGCGGCATGGGTCTGACACGCGTCGGTGGTGAGTCTCTCTAGCTTCAGCACCCTTTTGGCGCACAGATTTCTGACCCACCATTTGTACACAGATACAGAGTGGTTCGAGATCCGGCAGCCAGCGGGACACCCAAACATTTTAGATCTTGGGACAGATCTGAGCAACATGCTTGCCGGCTTCTCTACCGCCGACCTGGGATGGATTAATAGAGTCCCGAATCCCAGAACAACAGCAAATGCTTGGATGACCAACAGGGTCAATCGGTGGACAAATGTGGGACATATCTAATCGCTAGGCTTTACGAAAAACAATCTCAAAGCATGTCTCTAAGCAATTGGCCTTCATTTCTTGTTTTTCTTGAGACAGACGTTAAGTATTCCCCAGGCCTGCATGCCTACATACCGAAAAATGGGCTGTGCGAAAGTCAAGCGAGGCACTTCTACTGTCTAGGTCCCTGCGCCTTCTCTGTGAAGAAAATACTACATCTGAAGCCGGTGGGAGAAGCCTGGAGGACATCATCCTCAACGATTGAGCTTTTCTTCACCTTCATATCAAGATCATCATGAGCCAGCGCAGGCATAAAAGGGGTACCTGTCATCGTGTGATCGCCTACGAATAGTACCAATTGGCATACATCTGAAGCCTAGAATCGGAACTATCTAGCTGATGTTCGATTCGGGCTCGGCCGTGCTGTAGTAAGTAGAAAGAAAAGTTGACCCGGCAATCCAAGGGATACTAGTACTTAGTTATACCTCTGCCGTCGCAGAGGTGAGCGAGCCCGTATCCGTAACTCCAGTGAGGCAGTATTTACGCAACAGGATCGATCAGACCAAAAAATCAGGAATTCCTCGACGCCTTATCAGACCTTCAGAGGCCAACATATAGATTTTAGTCTGCTTAACTTCACTTGCAGCTCAACTTCAGACATGCAAAGTTCATATCAAATAGAAGCTCAGAAAATTTTTTGCTCGCGACTCGTCCTCAGAGGCTCTTTAGTCTGAACTTATTTACCTATTTGAAGAACACGTATTCATACTTCATACATTATTTGTCCCAAGAAATAAGAAGAGATACGCGTACAGTCCCATCCAGCATCACGAATGCTGTGTACAAACGCGATCTTCTTCATGACATACAACCAGTTCTAATGCTCGACTAGCCAAATGCTCTCATAACGTCACGGACACGAAAAGCCAGTACCGCACATCCAATTAAAGGTCCGACAGCTGGATCAACCTTTGAGAGTAAGCTGATCACTCGAGGCAAGTGGGTTTTTCCGAAACCATGTGTATATCTTGCCATGACATTCCATGCCCAGGAGACTTTGTAGGACAGTAGCCAATCCAAGAACGATGTCCACGAAGCGCTGTAGTAGAATAATAGCGCGATAAAAAGACCGACCAAGAGGCACATGAGCTCCGTCTGTCCCTGGCTACCGTCCATCGTACGGGATAAGAAGTTTTCCAATCTCATCATGTAATCGATGGGCTGCACTTCCGCTGCTGCCAACGCAGCCCTTCCCTTTTCTCCGACCGCCGTTTTTCCCCGGAGGAGCAAGGTAGTTCGAGCATTACTACTTCCCCCTTCGCCACACCTCCTCCCCCTTCCCTCAATCGTCTGAACATACCTTCGATGAATCCCCGCAAAGAAATCCCTACACGCGCGCCAACACTCCTTCCGATTGAGTACGACACGAACAGCGATCTGTACAGCAACATTCACGAGGAATCCTACCTCGCTTCTAGGTCGGGAAATCACCCACCCCCCATCATCCTCCACTTCTTGCACTTCACAAGCCGTCCCGCCCGTCATGATCTCCACAGAGTAGAACACGTAAACATACATCACGGTGCCGTAACAGCACAGCAGGACCGCCGCGAAAGGTACAGCGCGAAAAAGATTATTGTCGTCACTGATCCCCCCTCCCCCCCCTCCCCCCTGCCCCCGTTGGCGGTGCTACCGCCAGCGCAAGCACGAAGAGGGCTCCTCCTGCAATAATGAAGAATAGAAGGACTCCCCAGGCAGCCTGCGCGGCGGGGATCCAGTCCTCATTACAGACTTCTGGGAATCGTAGCCCTCGGACTTGGGCTAAGAGGTGTATGGTGGTAAGTGCTGGGTATGTCAGGACTACGAGAGCATCGAGGTCTATGGAGCCGGAGGTGCGTTTTTGGGGGTCGCAGGACCAGGAGAGGAGGACTGCGAGGGCGGTGAGAGTCCAGCAGGCCGTTGTGCTGGGGCCGTAGAGGATGTTGGTGAGGGCGTTGGTGTTTTGTGACATTGTGTCGTTGGAAGTTCGTGACTAGTTGATAAATTGAGAAAGCTGTTTGTTCCTCGGGAATTTGGGAGACACAGTATTTAATTCAATTTAATGCGCCGATTCGGGGTGATTTGACCAGTAGTTAAAGAAATGAAATTGATAAATATGAATTCGTAGAAGAAATACTTGCGAGTTATGCAAGGGCAAAGGACGCAAGGGGGTTGTGGCCATACACCCCAAGGTAGCCGGCTAGGCTGACTTGGATGCACCGGCACAATTTGCATGTCTCAGTACATACCTGACTGCGAAATCATAAGATACAAGATTCCACTCTTTGCCCTTGTTAGCGACTGGAAGCCACGTTCAACCCGTCCTCAAACCTTACTCCAGCATGGTCAAGCTGCTATTCCCTCCACCATCATGTCCCTGCAAAGCACCTCAGCAAAACCTCACATCGCCCTTCCATCCCTCGCCTTAAGGCTAAGCATAGCCCTCGGACTATTCGAAACATCATCAAACTCCGCACTCTTCGGGAACTTCCACTTCTCCCCATCCACCACTTCAACATCAAAACCCTGCAACAGAGTAGCCACAAACCCCACAATCTGCCTCTCCGCGAAAATTCTGCCGGGACAATACGAACTTCCCCCTCCAAAACCCCTGGTCGACGTCTGCGGATTCTGCCCCATGCCCCCATCCTCCTTACTCACAAATCGCCTCGGTATAAACGTCTCCGGCTGCGGGTTGATTTTCTCATTGTAATGCAAAGCGGAAGAAGGCATATTTACCACACCGCCCTTCTTGAGCGTGTAGGTGCGCGGTTGTTGGTCAGGTCCGGCGGGCTTCGTAGTGATTGATGTCTCTTCGAGGACTTCGCGAATGGAGGCGCTGACGGTGTGCATGCGGATGGCTTCGAAGTAGCATGAGCGGAGAAGCGGGAGACCGTGGGGAACGAATTTGTATTTTTCGGAGTCAGGGGCGGCAGAAAACCCGGACGCGTTCATTTCGGCGCGTAAATCATCTACGAGCCCAGGAACGTAAAGGATGTGCAGGAGGGTGAGGTATGTCGAGGGCGTGGAGTTGGAGGTGAGACTGGAGGGGAGAAGTATTAGTGCGTTTGCGAGGATGGGATGAGATGGGGTAGGGTGGGTGGACTGACCCAAACAGAAAACTAAATTGCTGCGTTGCAACACCTTTATCGCTGAGGACTGTTTTGGTGAGTGCGATCTGGTCGCGGGTGAAGGCAGAGACATCGTCGCGATCTTGGGCGGTTGCATCGTCGACGACACCGGTGAGCATGGCTGCCATGATTCGCTTACGCGCCTTATCGGCATTTCTGACAAACATGGCGGGCACGCCGGAGAGGAAGAGCCAGAAGCCTTTGGCTACGAAAGTGTCCATGTCTGTGGTCATGTCTGGATTGGCGTCTAATGGTTTCCGGCCGAAGTAGGCCGTTGTACTTGCTTTCGCTAGAGTGTCGAGTAGCAGTTGGAATGCATCCACGCGAAGAGTGCCCTTCTCGCTGGCGCGCACCTCATCCGAAAGGTGGCGCATGCGCTCCTGAAGATCCTTGAAGTATGCGATTACTACTAGAGTATACTGTTCTGGATTCAGGAGATGCTTGTTGTAGAGTGCATGCATTGAGTCATGAAGGCCCTCCAGACGGGTGGTTTCTGACTTGGTGTATCCGAAGAGTGTGACACTCAAGATCCGAATGAAGGGTGCAATGCTCATGACTTTGGCTTTGCGAAACAGTGTTGCGACGTCGGCAGGATTGCTGAAGACATAGTGTTTACGTCCGGCTAGAAGCATGGAGTATGGCTTATTGTTTCCTCGACGTCTGTACTGTCCTGTCAGAGGTCAAATTACAAGGATAGATCAGGTGCCTCACTCTCCCCAAATGAAAAAACCTCGACGATCTTTGGCCCAGGCTATGGCGTGCCCCAGGATTGGGATCGTGTGAGAGATAGGACGAGGCTCCTTTGGGTCATAGCTAGGGTTGAGAAACCACAACAAGGCAAGCAGCAGACCGACTACTGTTGTGGTCACAAGGGTTGAAGCCATGTCGGCAACGGAGTATTTAATCAATGAATGCTAACCAAAGCACCTTTCAATTGATGATGATGAGACTTCTTGATAGTGGACAGTTGACGAAGATGCTCGGTTTCGTTCGGGTGAAGGCAACAAGCAGTGAATGGTTGGTGGATGATGTTCTCGTTGCAGATGGCGCTAATGCCCAGCTAGTGCTATGGTGCGTCAGTCTGCCCCTCGCCTTTGAGGGGTATACTCAATTCAATAAATGCAGCGACCATAAGCAGGTCGTCAGAATGAAGAATTTATGGTAGGAAAGAAGGTCAATAATAACAATGTCAAAGTGCTGGCAGCTGAAACCTAGGTGAGATTTTAGTACCACGCCATCTTGAGCCTACCATCCTTGTTCCCGGTCAACCTAAAAGCGATGATTTGATGATATGCAAGACAGAGGGCACCTTTCGTAGGTCATTATTCGAGAAAGAAAAGATAGATTCGCTACTCCATTGGAAGCTTTAAGATGCTTGAAGGTGCTTGCGCGGCGTGCCCAGCCAAGCGGAACGCAAGCCGCAAGATGCAAATGATAGTAGCCAATAGGCGAAACAACCGTATTGAATGCAGATGATCTCGCATTGACTCTTCATATGGGACAGGTTTTCGGGAAATGTACCGCATATTCACTGCTCGGAGGAGGCAATGATTCAAGTCGTGAATACTATATAATCAGACACTTCTCAATGGCGAAAGGTGATATTCTTCTATAGCAACTCATTGCACAGACTGTGTATCGTTGAGGCATCAGAATTGTAGGTTTGCTCTAAAAGCGAATTGGCAATTGAGGAGGCAACAGCCCACCTAAGAATCAAGAAGCGATCCCATACGAGGCTTCGGGGCCAAGACATCAACAAAGCACGTGATCAGTATAGGGCTTCCTGAGAAAGGGATGTCACCCGAGAGGCTGAACCTCGGATCCCACGCGTGCATCAGTGTATGGCTTATGCCAAAGATTCATGCTGAACAACAGTGATGGAATCTCCGGAAGGGTCTCAGTGGCGAGAGTGTGAGCGCTACTCAACTGCGACCTGATATCGTGCTAGATAATATATGGCGCGCGCAAGTGACAGGCATCAAAAAGTACGACGATGGAACGATGGGAATGTTCATGAAGGCCGATGGCTCCAGTGAGCCAATTTCCCGGATGTCTTGGCGGATAGGCATGACGTAGTTTATGCAAACAGGCACAATTCTTATGCAAGCTTATGTTTGTTGGAGCTTGAGGGGGCGCAATGAAATTCAATTGTCTTCCAGGCCAACGTACTGGCTTTCCTTATGGGGCGCAGCGATTGCTTACTCTCAAGGATCAGACACTTTCGTCTCTATTCCCCATGTCGAAGAGGGCGACTATTGCTTTAGCGATGTAGCATCCAGTCAATCCGAAGCCTCGTGTGCGGCGTACCTTCCTATTCGATCAAATAAACAGTCGTGACTTGGCTCGTTGCTGCCATCGTACCTCCTCGATCAGTCCCCGCGGCAGTCTTGTTGAGCTCACATTACCATTGCTATCAATACACTGACTCATTGCTGCCTTGTTGCCTCTCCTTTCTATGCTTGACTCATCTGCAAGACTCACAACTTAGATTTCCGCACACCACATAAATAAGCTTGATTGATTCGAGAACCTCTAGATTCTTGAAATTCCATATCAGGCTGTATCTTTCCTTCGCCTGGCAAAGTGCGCCTTCTTTTACAGCCATCATGGATTCATCATGGCTGCAAAAGCCGACGAAAGACACAGAGAAGACTGAGACTGAGGCACGAGCAACTCCATTTGCCAATACACGGAAGCTGTTTGCTGTAGATGCGTCAGGCTCCACCAGTGGGGCCCCAATGGAAGCCGAAAAGCACTTTGTCCTTGGCCTTAGCAACCTCAAGGAGGATGTCGTATGCAAGTGGGGTCACAGCTGCAACATTCCCCAGACTATCGACTCTGTACCCTCAAGTTATTTCAATGGCTGGGATGGAACAGCGCCGGCTTGTATCCTACAACAGCCTGCAGCTGTTGACGCGATTCAGGCATCTGATTTCTGGGTGCTGCTCACTGATGGAGAGATTGCAGCTCGGGACGTCGAACAACTCACGGTCCTAGCAGAACAGCAGAATATCACCCAGATTCCGGTCATCCTGTTGATCGTTGGCCCACGCCGGTCTGAGCCAAGAAGTGAGAGCATATCGGTCGGTATCTCATTCTTTGCTGGCGCCCGTGACGCTATGATTCTTTACAAGGACATTTACAAGAAGACAATCTACCTGATTGATGCCAAGGGTGCTTTTCAATCTCTCAAGGGAGCGACAGACAGTGACTTGACAGATTGGAACAAGCTTCCAGCGTTCAAAAGCGAGCAAGCTCTCAAAGATGAACTCATTGCACATAATATTTCGTTTGAGGCGGATCGTAGCCAAAGACAGCAGCAAGGAATCTCACTTGGCCCAGAGTGGGACGCCGCAACGGATCATGCGATAGTCAAAATCGCAGACCTTCTTGACCAGGCTCATATTAGCATCGAAAATTTACGAACTCTGCTTCAAGAGGAAGCGACCAACCAGCTAGCGTTAGCCTGTAAGATTAGGGGGCGCCTGAATGACCTGCGTAATCTGTTCATTCGACACAAACAGCAGGAGGTTGTCGTCCGCCTAGAGGACCGCCATGGCGCCGGTGAAATCATGAGAAAGCTGCATGGGGCGCCGGATCCTATACAGCGAGCTCCTTTGGAGGACGAGTTGAGAAAGGCGCATACTTTCAATCGAGCCACGTATCAGCAGCTACGAGACTCCCCGAATGAAGACGCAAAGCGTGCAACAGAAATCAATCGGCTCATCGACCGGGCTCTGCGCATCATTTCGGGCTTTGAAAAGGCTTCCTACACCGCTGATATTTTGGATCGTAAAAGTAACCGAGCTCGGCGGGCTGAGGTCGTCTCGACTGCTGATACAGACGTCAAGCTTGCGGCTTTGGATCTGGGAGGGGATGTCCAGGCTTTCCGCGGCGACTGTCTGATATGTTGTGGAGACGATGAGATCATGTCCGTTGCCTTGAAGAAGCTTGATACGGTTGAAGAAAATACGAGCGACTTCGCTCTGAACTTTCCACTCGCTGCAGCTCAATCAAAGCGAAACACAAGCATTGTCTCCGCCCAGGCCATTTGTTTTCAATGCGCACTTCTGCTGGAACGATCGATATACCAAGAGGATATCATTTCAGTGATTCCTACCCTTCACTACGACGGTGCAAACAGAGCTTACATCAACCATCAGCTCTATCTTGCCTTGACAGCGGGACTTGCGACTGGTGTTTCAGGCGTAGTGCAATTGTTTCTAGGGATCCTCGACGCAACCCTAGAGACCAAGACTTGGTGTGCGAAAGGCTCATCCTCAGACCCGGAAGCTCTGGCTCGAAGAGAGACGCTTGAATGGCTTCTAAAGGACATGCTAAAGAACTGTTCATGTCGAGAGACCTTTTCAGAGACAGGTCAATGGGTGAAATATCCCAAAGCATTGAAGTGGGCCGCTGAGGAGTTCAGAGAAGCAAAGTTCGACAGCTGGATCATTCAATACCCTATCGCTGGCTTCACCCAAATGATGCGTTGGTTTGAAATACTTGACTTGAGCGTCGATGGCGAGCTCTTGACCGCAATCCGTCATGCGAAGCTCATGCATTTCATCATCAGCCAGATCATGTCCCATCTACTAAAGTCCGACGCCGACGAGAGAAAATGGACCCAACCATTCCTCGCACTACTCTATCAATCCTTCAATGCGCCCACCGTACCAACAGACCTCGGCCAGAACTCGATCGTCGCCGCGCCAGATTTCTGGCAAAGGCTCCCCGCCGCTCTGCCCGACTGGTCAGACGTCAAAAGCTTCTTGGGTCTCTACAACTCCGGGTGCGACGACCACGTCGTCAATCGTATCCAACTAATAACATTCTACGCCCTATTCACCCAGAAAGCCCACACAACACCGAAGACATTCTTCCGCATCACCGCACCAAAGGAGCCTTTAGCACACGCAGCTCTCGACACCACAACCCCCAATCTCCCCTCCGCCGCCGTGGCCTCCGTCCTCCTCTCAATCTTCACCCAAGAGAAGCGGTCCGACCCAGCCTTCATCCTGCACGACGAGGGCGCCATGGTCCCCTTCGTCAGCCCCTACGGCCCAAGCGTCCTGCACTGCGGCCAACCAGGCTGCCCTGTCTCATTCTACGACCCCACCCCCCACCCCCCACCTCCACCTCCACCCTCTCAGAGACAGAGAAAGCGAACGCGCTCCGCGAGCGCCGCGCAAAACACCTCACTGACGTTTTTAGAGCGAATAAGGATTTCGTCAGTCAGACGGGTCTGCCGGAGAACACGATCGCGCCAAGTCCGCCGACGAGTTCTCATAATAATCTGCATATCAGCACGGCGAGGGCGTGGGCGAGACTGGATGCGCGGCAGCGGGGGATGATTATTGTAGCCGTTGACCGGGCTGATGGAGGAGGGGATGGGGGGGATGGGGGGGATGGGGGTGGCAAAGAGCGCGAGGCGTTGGAGAATTTCGTGACAAATGTGATGGTGGAGATCTGCGCTACGTCGCGCAGGGGCGATGTTTATGATAGCAGGGTTGAGGGGCATGTGCGCGCTGTGTTGCCGTCGTTCGTGGAGGCGTTGAAGAGGGCGAGTTCGAGAAAGGGGATGGAGGATGTGAGTGGGGTGGCGTTTGAGTTTGTTTGGACTGATAATACTATTTTGTGGAAGATGGTGTATGAGTTGGGTCTTGATTCGTGAGTTCTGGGTAAGGGGAAGGGTGGGATTGGTGGGGAGGGGGGGTGGTGTGTCGTGCAGGAGGTAGATGTGGATGTGGTATAAAAGGGTTGAGGCAGATGTGTTAATAGGGGTTACATAGCAGAGTCAAATTTAAGTATACTTCATATGTGAGAAGTCAGATTTAAATTATAAGACTATTGCTTTAGCCTGTGACAGGGTCGTGCCAATTCATAGTAGGATGCATGTGTTTGTATTTTGATAAAGGCGGCGAGCACTACTCATCTAGTGATCAGATAGGGGTAAGTGCAACCTCTAAACTTCGAGGAGAAGGCGCTAAGAATAGCTTAGCAGAGGGTTCAAGGGATAGAGACGTAGAAGATAAAGGGGGGTAAAGGTTGAGAAGGGAAGCAAGTGATAGAGGAGAAAACTTCTTTGAACTCTAGAAAAGTAAAAGAAAACCACTTTCAAATCTGAATTATTAAAAGAAGTCTTCTGCAAAATTCAATTAGGTATGAGCAAATTTATTTTAAAAGTCTAGATATGTAAGAGAAGCCATTTGCACCCCCTCTCCACCCGCTAAAACCCCCTTGCCACACGCCAAATTGACGAACTTGCCGAATCAACCTTTGTCTTGGCGCGCCTAAGAGGTGTTCGAGGTAAAGACCACTAGCACGGCGGCATATGCTACACACCGCACATCATTAGCTCAGGCAAACGATGAAATCAAGCAAACCAAAACGTGACCTACCAGAGTAAGCCGTGAGTTGCTGCAGACGGGTTGCACGAGTCGTCATATTCAGCACCGCAGAAAACGCCATAGTAAAGCCAAGTATGATGAGCAATTGCCACCTGCGTTCCTTGACAGCGGGCAGAATCGCTGCAGGAGCGATGATCGTAGCGGCGGTGATGAGAGTGAGGAGGAGGCGGATCAGGAAATTGATTCGGGTACCGCTGCGGATCGTGAGGTAGCCGTCATCGACCTTTTGTTTTTGTGCCTTGCCGACGAAGGGGTTCTGGGGTGGAGAAGGACGTGAGTAGGAAATGCGTAGCGGTGGTGATGGGACTCACATTCTGGGGCAGACGATTCAGGATGCTGCCGAGCAAGGTGTCGAGATACTCGTCACCGTCGCCCTCCTTCAATGAGACGTAATCATCTGCGTACAAGAGATCTTCGCACTCGTCTTGAAGCATGGGTCTTTCGTTATCCAGCCATATCTTCACATCAGCGAGTCTTTTCTTGGGAGGTGGTCGCAGAGCTAGATAGGATTTAGATCTCTGGACGAGGTCATCTGGATGCGTCCGCATTAGCAAAGCGAAGCGGAGAACAGATGAGAAACGGGTATTACCATAGTCTTTCAGCTTCGTGGCTACAGTGTCAAGAAGTGCAGCCAACTCCCCTGGCTTCTCTTGCTGGGCTTCCAAATGCCATGACATCAAGCCTGTTTCCTCAGCCGCATGTACTTGATCGTCCAATTTGAGAATCTTCTCCTCGAGATACGCAAGTTCTAGTTCGCGCATCAAGAGCAGACGACTTCTCAAGAACCCAAAGTCCCTGACCATTGCGAAATTTGAGTGGCTGGAGAAGAATGCTGCTAATTTGCCGATGCCTCGGGGATGTCGATTGACTAGGTCTCGTCAGAATGTTGATTTGAGTGCTGAGATGATGCATACTATCTTGTACTAGGCGTCTGCTACTCATTGTGCCTGATGGAGCTGAGCCAGAAGTTGCTGGGTGTAGGCGGAGATGAAAGTTATGAGCAAGTCGTGTTCTTATGCTCTTGAATGCGGTAGTCTGCTGTTCACTGCGAGTTTTGCGTTCTGTCGGTAGAAGTTCTCAGACGCTTGTTCGCATCCAGAGTCGACAAATTCGTCTGTATCTGTACTACCTGGGCTCTTGGCACGAGCACGTTCACAAGGGTGCTAGTGGATGTTTCACAACGATTAGGCGGAATGCGCTTGGAGAGCTTTCATTCGCATCGTACTTTCGCCACCGACAAGGGCGATGCATATCCGGCACACGCTTGACGCCCAATCAGATCTGTGGCGCAACCTTGTTCCCCGCTCAGGAACATGAGAGACCCTTCCGCCAGCACGTGAGTATGGTCCGAAGAGAAGTCAGATGAGCGAAAACAACAGGCTCGAATGGCTTTGAGCGCATATTTCCTGGGTTTGAGATGACAGTGTTGAAGATTTTCAGATCTCAGGAACCCTGAATCCAACTGCACAGAGCAGAATACGGTTTGCTGTACAAGGCATCTTTAAAGGAGGACCATAGGAGCCTGCTCTATTCCAGCACTACCCGGTTATCCCATAAACGATCATTGTAAAAAGCCTTAAATGAAGGCGAAAATACCATGTCTCAACCAGCTTGAAGCTGAATAAGTCCTATGAGAAACCCACATATTGTTAGATGCTTTGCGGATATGGTCTGGAGGCCGAGGCAGTCACTTGACACGACGTTTGGAGACAGTGCCACTGAGAAGTTTAATGCAATTTACATTTATGGGACCAAGTCTGCAAAAAGGGGCAATGCTTTTAACACTGGCAGATTCCCTCGTCAAGATATCAAAAGGGCGGGCGCTAGGGATCTCGGGCGCTACAGGCGCCACCCGAAAGTTTGCTGGAGCTTGGGATGATATCGATCTTGCATATGCCTGTACCTCTAGATGCTGGAGCCCGTCTGCTTTCTATTCACCGGTTGTAGACTCGATCATGATACAACCCCTGTCTCGGAAGGTAGATTGTATGCAAGGATCTGCAGATCCATAAAGTGATGTAAGATTCACAAAAGCGGTCACGGCGAACGCCCTTTGTCCCATTGTCAGACGCTTGGTCCAACACACATTCCAAGAATGCAAGCATTTGGTAAGAGTCTCCCTCCCTTCAATGTCTGTCTGCCGCTCATGGCTCACTCTCCTCTCTTTCAGACCTTTCACCATTCACTAATCACCCTATCGATAGTCCCAAAGACAAGACGAGTAGATCCCACTTGCTCCTCTTGTCAGGGCCGAGGCTGACACAACTCGTTACAGCCGAAATTCGACCTCAACCTCACCATCCATGACCTGAACAACGTTCCTCTCGTGACTGGCACATCCTACGTGAAATGGCACATACCCTCCTACGCCGCCTCAGCCGAACACCGCGGCCACACACCCCGCGTCCTGATCCGAGACCACAAAGTGACGTGGGACTACACGAAGACCATCGGCGTCCGGCTGACGCTTGACAAACATGGCTCGCTGCAGGATTCTGAAATACACTTCGAGGTGCTGCAAGAGTACTCACCAAGCGGGAGGGGAGAGAAGATCGTGCTCGGCAACGTACGACTTAATCTGGCCGAATACTGCCTACCAGAAGGCGAATATGGAGGCCAAGACTTCAATGAGCAAGGTCAGGGCGAAGGCGCTGGAGCGGGCGGAGAGGAGGCAACAAGGCCTGGCGCTGGTGTCGTGCGACGATATCTTATGCGTGAGAGCAAAATCAACTCCACGCTGAAGGTATTTCTTTTTCCCCCTTGTCCCCTTTCCAGTCTTCTGCCTTCGCTAACGTACTCATCCTCTTTAGATAGGCATCCATATGCACCAAACCGAAGGCCTCACGACCTTCATCCCTCCCCCCTTAAAGTCCGGCGGCGCCTTCACCGGCATAGCAGGGATAATCGCCGGCTCCACAAACCCGTCTCACGACTCCGCCACCGACGATGACGGCCACATGCCCTCCATGTCTCGTGGCGCGCAAGAGTCTGGAAAACTGCAGGACATGTACCGTCAGAACCTCGCCGCCACCTGGGCGGCCCAGGCAGGCGAGCTCCCACCAGATAAATGCATCGAGGATATCTTCCGCGGCGGCGACGGATGGGGCGACGTCAATGCCGGCCCAGGCGGGGATCTCCACACGAGCGATGGTGCTGGTGGGAGATACGTGGGTGGGCACACGAGGGGGTTGAGTGGGGAGGTGGGGAGCGATGATGAGAAGGGCACAGTGAGGGGCCATAGGAGACACGGAAGCAGTGGGACTGTCAAGGCGGGGAGAGGGGCGGAGAGGAAGGGAAGTGCCGTCAGTATTATCTCGAATAGGAGTGGAGGGAGTGGGTCAAACACCCCGAGCGTGGGTGTCAGTGGGCGGACAAGCATTCAGCAGCAGGTGCAAGGGGCGAGCGTTGCAGAGAAGAGGATGAGGAGCCTGAGGGCGAATGAAGTGGATGAATTCGCGGAGCGGGAGAATTTGAGGAGTTGGGTCATTGGGGGGCAGAGCTGATCATGCTCTCACCTAGCCTTTTCACCGAGTCTGGATTTCCTCAAGCAAAGCAAACCATACATAGCCCTCCCCTCTCCCTTTACTTTCACACCGTAACAAGTCAGCAACAACACGCCTTAACCTCCCCATCCCTCCCCCTTTCAAAAGCCCCCCACATCCCCTCCCTCCCTCCCCTCCTATCCCCCAGCACCTCCAACACCCACGCCCCTCTCGCCTTCTCCCCACCACCCAATACCGCTCCACCCTCATCACCCAACCCCCAATCCCACACCCTCGCCCCTACCTCCTCAACCGGCATCCTCCCCACCAACACCGCCGTATCCACCACGGCCTGCGCAACCCACCTCCCCATCCCTGGCCTCCCTCCCCTCCCCCCCGTTTCCCCCCTTCCCTCCACACTACCCGTCCCTCCCAAACCCGAAGCAAACCCACTGACATCATCCCCCCACCTTCCCCTCCTCCCTCGATCCCTAAACCTCGACCCCTCCCGCACATACCCCGTGTATGAATGCGCATTTGGGTTTCGCAACGCCCTGGACGCGGTGGTAATGAGGGTGTTCGTGAGGATGGTCGCGATGTTGTGTCTGCGGGTGAGGTGGCGGAGGGAGAGGAGGAGGGAGGAGAGGAGGGATTGTGTTGATGAGGAGGGGGCGAGGGAGGGGGCGGAGGATGTTAGGAGGGGAGGGAGGTGGGAGAGGAGGAGGAGGCCGATTTTTTTGGAGGGGGAGGGGGAGGGGGAGGGGTTGGTGTTGGGGTTGGGGTTTGCGGGCGGTGCGGGAGGGATGACGGTGGTGGTGGTGTTTAGTGGAGGGGAGATAGGAGAGGAGGAAGAGGAGGAGGAGGAGGAGGAGGAGGAGGACTCTTCGCTATCTGCCACTTCTCGCTTCCTCTTCCTAGCAGGCGATTTAGGCGGCGCCGGAGCATGTGCGGCGACGGGCTTTGGTGCAGCCCAAGGGACGGGGGAGTTGATATCGCTGATCTCACCGATCGACTCGACCACGCCTGCGAGGTCGAATACGCGCATTAGTTTTACGCGGTCGAGGAGGTCGAGGGCTTCTTGCGTTGCTTGGTCGCGCTTTTGGAGGTTCGAGTGGATGTCCGCTGGGGCCCAGCGCGCTCTCTGGCTGATGCGGACTATTAGGATGTCAAGGAGTTGTTGCGGGGAGAAGGTGCCGAGAGAATCGATGTAGGCGATGTTGGGGCTTTTAGTGGGGGTAAGGAGATGAGATGCCATTGCGTGGTAGAGGAGCTGTGTTCTGAAGTGTCAGTCGATGGAGAGAGAATTGGGCGCGTGGAAAGTGGTGAAGCATTTGACAAGCTGACGCGTTCTTCATTTGGCAAAGATTTCTTAGCCTTTTACGGATGCTGTATCAAGATATGAACTGAAAAGACTTGCAATAGGACCTCAGATCTTGAGATCCTTTCAGCTCTTTCACGATCGTATTTTTCTGCTTTGGGCGAATGTCAAACAGAAATTTACGAAACTCAATGTACCAGATGTACAACACGTACTCAATGCAGTCAAGTTCGTCATACCAGAGTTCTCCCCTCTTCTGCCTCTGATCCCCCAGCCGCTATCGAAGTGATCTCTCCATAGCGAAAGCCTTCAGCTTGCAGAGCAGTCTTGTCAAGTTGCAAAGACCCAGTGCTGACTCCTCGGACTCCTTTCATCGACACACTGGAAAATGTTTTCCTCTCATTTTCTTTGAACTCTGCAGCTTCGAGCAGCTTCGAGCCCAATTGAACCGTCATAGCTGACAAAATGATAGCGAAGCCGTCAAATGCAAGGAGGCAGCACGTACCAACTGGTGCCTCTGGTGCCCTGGTGTACCTTAGCCATCTTTCTTGGCAAAGCTTGGCACCACAAAACATGACAGTACCTATCACCCCACATGATTTTGTGAAATCAAAATGATGGCGAAAGGAAGCAACCATTCTATTATATTGAAGAACAACACGCTTTTCAACCCCCACAAAAAATGATGATGCGTGAACCCAACCTGATTTGAACAGATAACCTTTCGATCTGGAGTCGAACGCGCTGCCGTTGCGCCATGGGTCCTTTGTCGTTCGTAATGTGCTCTAAGCTTGAATATATAGCAAATTTTAAAAGGTCCTTCACCATCCCTTTTTTCCCTCTCTGTTTTACAACGATTGCATCAATTCATCCGGTAGTAAAGTGGTGCTTCCTCGTCAAATTCGAACCCCGATTTTAAAGCCGACAATCCTACGTACTCTTCAGGAGAAAACTCGAAGCGTACTCTAAACGAGTCGAAAGTATGGAAATCATCATCTACTAATTCTCAGCTGCATATCTATGGGTCAATACTCAATTAGTGATAGCATCTTTTCGGGTCCTCTTTGCTCAAGGCAAAAAATGTGGTCGATTATCGCGACTGCCTGGCATTGATGGGACTACAACAAGACGAGGCTACAAAAATTGTTGAACCCATAATTGGATCGAATTACATATGTTTAAAAGATGCGAAGCTGAGGTGATTATAGTAACGTCGACTCCATTAGAGCTTCCAACCGTAAACATTCAAGCTCAGTCCTCACACTAAAAGTCGTAGCCTCGCGGGTCTTGTTCCATCGTCGATTCTCAGATCCCCCAGAGCGTCTCTTATCCGTGCTTGTGATATCAATATCCTCACGCAAAACTGTTGTAACCAGATTGGTCAATGAACGTGTTTTGACTGTGGAACAGAAATGTTGCGAAGTGGAAATCGTAAGCTCGTGACAGTCCAATGCTCAAATATCATCCTGCAAGAACAATGATCTGAGCTTTTGCTTTCTTTTCTCCTTTCTTTGGCCGCAAACCTGACTTCTGTATGGCGACTAGGTCTGGTCGTCCATCTCCCGTCATATCCGTCATAGCGAAGTCGTAGTCCACATGCGTGTTCAGAATTGCGGCTTTCACTTCAGCTCTGACGAGAAAGTCTCGATAGTCTGCAGCTCCAGCCAGAATATCAACTGAAAAGGCTGAGCCGTCGGAGGCCTTACTGATCGCGACTAAGTCTAGGGTTCCATCGCCGTTCCAGTCGGTCATGACGAAGTCGGCCTGTTCAGGGATCTCATCAAGCGCAGTGTACTTGTGAGCAAGCCAATTCTTGTAATCCGAAGCGCCATCTAGCACATGGATTTCGACCTTTTTGTTGATAGTGTGGAATTTTTTGATCGCAACAACGTCATGTCGCTTCTCTCTCGCCTCGCCTTTCCAGTAGGCCAGGAGGAATGACCAATTGCCATCAGTCCCTGGAAGTGGCGTTTCAATCGCATCTAGTCTCTTGTTGCCATTCGATAAGGAATAGGCTTCAATCACTGTGATCTTCTCGAGAGTCCCACTTTGCTTGAGGACAAATAGACACGGATCCTTATCATCCTTTTCAAGTTGTCCTACGACGTAACGGCTGTTCTGAGGAGATCCTTGTGGAATACTGATCTGCTGAGTGGTCACCTCCGCTGTCAGATCATCGACTTTATTCGTGAAAAGAAAGTCTATGTTGTTGGGGTCTGAGGCCGAGCTCTTAATGGCAATCAGTGCATTTCCGCCCCACTTTTGCCAATTGAGGATAAAGAATTTAGTGGTGCTATCAGTCAACTCAAATGACGTCGGTTCCTTTTGAAGCGGCAAAGAAAAGCTGGACCAAAAAACCGTCGATCTCATAGTTGTTAGTGTAGTCCTCATCATTGCGACTTGACCGTGAGTGAACATGACGGTCGTGTCATCATCACAGTAATCCATGTAATTCATAAACATGTCACCCCCTTCGTTCGCATTGGTGCTCCCGTTTGCCAAAGAATTGATCTTCGGATAAAGCGGCTTGGAGTAATTCTCCTCACTCCCTGGCAAATTGGTTGTGTCAGTCACCTTCCCCGCGTGCTCATCAAACACGTGTGGTAGATTGAGGTAATGGCCAACCTCGTGGACCAGAGTTCGCCCCAGATTATATAGGGGGAAAGCGTATTGCTAGCTGTTTGGACTGTGCCAAAAGCAGTATACTGAATCACGACCCCGTCCAGTTCCTTCTTGGCGCCCGGGAAAAACGCAAAGCCCAAGTTCTTGGCCATGTTGACGACCCAGATATTGAGAAATCGATCTCTGTCCCAGGTCGGTGAACCTGTCTTTACGTATTTCATCCTGACATCATTTTTACTGAACTGCTCGACATCGGTCTTGGCCCATGTTACACCATCGTGTGGTTGGCCTGCTGGGTCGCGTCGAGTGAGAAAGAATGTAATGTTGGGGTTACCCACTCTTTCCTTCCATGGTAGAGGTACGTCTTCAATGTCTTTATTTTGGGCGTTGAAATCCCTGTTCAATGCCTCGATTTGGCTAGTAACTTGCTCCATTGTGACTTTCTGCTCTTCTTCCTTCCATACCACGTGAACCACGACGGGTACGCGGATGCGTCCTGTAAACCTATTTGTACTTGTTGAGATATGGTCAAGGGTGGCCTGCACACTGGTACGAGCAGCCCTGTGTTGAGCATCGGTGGCCAGGAGATGGCGCTCAATCTCATGAGTTGAGCAAGAAAAGGCTCGGTGTACCGGAGACTCTTCCATGCTGCCAATGATTTGATTACTAGCGATGATTGTTTTCAATCACTGGCCTCAGGCCGCAGCAGCGAGGCTGTCCCAAAGTCGTTCTGAATACAAGAATCACAGCCGCCAGGTATGAAAGTTCTAGAAAGGTAGACAATTCTGCTCGGGGAGAGTGTGTCCATATGTACACTGTCCAAGGCATTGCACGTCGAGAGTTAGCGTTGCAGTTGGCCAATGCGAAGGCGAATGCGCTCTGTCCATAGCGCCACAGAACACGTCGCTCCAGAACGGAAACTCGATGGGTAAGCGACAATAAGCGAGGACTGCTGCCAGATATCCTGACAGGTAGCCACCCACTCACGTTGCAGAGGGGGCCACGATGGCTTCCTGAGGGGGCCTTGAGGCTGGAGTTCAGCTCTCTCTATCGAAGCCACCATTGAAATGTGATAATGCATGGCATCGGGCCAATGGTATGAACCTTAAGAGGTGCTCTAGGCTCAATGATTGATAGCTGAACGCCTCTGACACTAGTGCCGCATTAGCTCAATATGCAGTTGCTTACTTCAACAATATTCATAGCTTGCCTATATGCAGGATGAGAAGGCTTGCCATCTTACTGCGTGATTCATGACGCCGAGAAAAGATCGAAGATCGATGGAATATTGCCGCATCTTAACTTATCCCTACTCGCTCTCCCTCTTTCTTAGTCGATGAAATGTGAATGTAATGATATTCGAATTCCTTCGGATTAGAATGGGAAAGTAGCTTACCAAACTCGCAAGGTCTGCTGACTCGATGTGGGTGAATACGTCCACGCTCTCAACGCAAACACTGTTTGTTACTCCCTCGTGTGCCTATATCCTAAGGCAACCTTTGTCTTTCTGGATATATTTTTAGAATATTTCTAATAATCAGAAGACGTCGAAGTCCGATATCTGGGCATTTGTGCTATGGGCTTGAATATTATTTTTCACGTCCGTAGATCATTTTCAGCTAAGGGCACTGAAACGCGCGGTATGTCTCATGATAGCAGTCCGTCTTCGCATGATCAGGGCTGTCAAAAGCAGCGACAAGTGCAACTTGGAGCATAACAAGCAATTGACTGGCGCTAGCTATCCATGTGAACAATAAACTCCAAGAAGTGTTCGTAAGGTAAAGTGGTATGGCAACTATCGCGGAGAGAAAACCCAATGCTATTAGGATCCATGTGCCCATCCAGTCTTTTGCTGCAGCGCCCCAATAGACCGAAATTACTAGAGTGAGAAAGCCTGCTATTTGTATGATACTGTTGATGAGTTGCTGCCTAAAATCTGTATCATTGACTGACCCTCGCCCAGGGGGAGATAATGTCATTGCTCGAAACAAAGGGTAGATACTTCCGATGATCGTGACGGCGACTGCTGCTTGAAGCAGGAGGCTATCTTGACGATGCTGCGCCGGTGATCTGTTCATGGTATGTCTCTCATGCGTGGGGCCCACTTTTGCCTCGCTAGGATGATCCCGAAATGTCTTGACTGTACCAAGAATTGTAGTTGAGTTCTTGTCTTCCCTGGTTGACTATTGCCTATCATATAAAAAAGGGAACCAGTCTAGTGTGCCCAATTGGGTCTGGATGGCGCCGGATGCATCTGAAATTTTCTCTATATCGTAAACGTCGAAGTTGAGCGCTGTCACTATCCATTGGCCTCCTAAATATAGGAAAATTGCTGACTTCGCCTTTACTTGAAAAAAAGAAGGCCTCATCCTTGTATGCGTCAAGTTCACAGAGAATGAAATTTATAGTCCTCCAGACCCAAAGACTGTTTCCTTGAGTTGTAGATGCTATAATTTCATCGTCCGTCAGAGGTCGCGCTCGAGCTTAGCCTTACTGTAAATGTGAAACCACGCATTATATTTGTCAAAATGTTTGCTGAGACGTGGCTTCAGGCAGTCGTCACCTCCTATTAAGTCACTACCATCGATAATATACAGGGCTGCTGCATCTATACTTTGCTTCATCTTTGTTAGATCTTGCAGCCAATTTCTTCAGAGGCTGGACTGAAACTGGTTCGAAGCAGCATTTCCTTTCTCAGTGAGCTCCTGTAACCGTAGCTATGTTGAGTTGTGCCTCATCTGTCGACCACTGAAGAAGGTGAAGTCTATCTGGCATAATTGTTCACTGTTTAGAATGACACTATGTGAAGGCCCTGTCGTGTTACTTGGTCACGATACTGCGCAAGCGAGGTGCTTTCGCACCGCCTTTCGACGACCACCGATCTAGATCATAAGAGAGAACAGCCAAAGTACGATTGTCTACGTACCGATCGTGTGGGGGCAAGGCCTGATAGTTCATACAGGCTTGTGACAGGCTAATTGTCAACCGGACCCTGAGTCGCGAAATGCTTGGCAATGCTTGGCAACAGGAATCGCGATCAGGACGTGATTGAATCTCCTCATCTGGCAAATATTTTCTCATCACAACTCTCACTCGACTAAACACTTCACCGGACTACTGACATGATTCAACTCAATGAGTCTCAGCATGTGAATACGCTTTCGCGACTGGCAACACTTCCCAATCACTATGGCTAACGTTTCCGACCTGTTGAACCCCGCTCCATCTTCCACTCAAACTTCAGAACCAACCCGCCCACAGCCTCTCACCATGGCCTCTCAATCTCCTCGTCATATTCGCAAAGATTCTATCACATCACCTGGTCTAGATGCCCTGGCCGCTGCAGCCAGCAATGCAGATCCCATCGTCTCTCCTCCAAACAGCTCTGGGTTTGCGACGAACTATCACCCCAGTATACGGCGTCAGTCTGGTGGCGCGCAATCATATGAGAGTTTCCAACCGACTTCGCAATTCTCCCCTACCCTTGTCCAATACGGCCATGTCCCTAGTGGAGAATACAGACCTCCGTCCTCCGGAGACCCTCGACAGAGTCTTCCACCCTACCAGCCCTCAGGTTTTGTACAACCTTCTCAATTGCCACAACAAGATGCTTTGAATAATACGACTTTGTTCCAGACTCAGGAAGGAGTGAATCGAAGAAGCCCTTCTCTTCCACATGAGGGCGAAATAAAATTCAGCGACCAGCATGATGGAGCGCTAACAGCACAAATACGTGAACCTTTACCTGGACCAGAGCATTCACTGCCCGAAATTGCGGTTCCTGAGACACAAAGTGAGCAAGTGGAAGTCAAAACAGAAATGGGCGATGTTCCAATGCAAGAGGCGCAAATGCCCAACAACCCGGAGTTACTCCAAAGTGATATGACAATGGTGGGCAAATTATCCTGAACGATTGAGTGTACGGCGCTGACTATATGCGCAGGACGGTTTCGAGCAGAATAAGATAGAGCCAACACCTCTTCCCGAAAAGCCCGAGACGCCAGTAAAAGCCTCTCCAAAACCAAAGGCTCCTCCCAAGAAACGCGCCCCACCCAAAAAGGGCACAGCGAGTGCAGTCAAGAACCCCGCAAAGAAGCGCAAACTCGACAATAGCACCGAGAGCGTTGAAGGTTCTCCATCAAGAGGTACACCCGGGACGAACCGAGCAAGCCTCACACCAGCACCGAAGAACAAGAAGCAAGCTTCTGATACTCCTACGCGAAGCTCTTCTATAGCTGCAGACGATGATGACTACGATGGAGGCTCTGACAACGAAGTCTTCTGCATATGCCGCAAGCCTGACGATCATGGCGTCATGATCGGATGCGATGGTCCTTGCGAGGATTGGTTTCATCTAAAGTGCGTGGACATGACAGAGGCAAAGACGAAGCTGATACAGAAATGGTATTGTACGTACAATCTAGTGTCCCTGGCTTCTCCGCGGACTTCTATCGATATTAACTCTACAATCAGGTCCCAATTGCTCAGCTTCTGGCCATGACACCCTGTGGCGCCGCATGTGCAGATTACCAGGCTGCTCCGAACCAGCACGAACGGACGAAAAAGGCAAAAATCTCTCAAAATACTGCAGCGACGAGCACGGAGAAGATTTTATGCGGCGTCTTGTCGAAGGCAAAGGCTCCGAGCCCGCCCCGACAATAGAACGAGCCACCCGACGAAAGAGCCAACACCAACAGCTCACCCCAGACAAAGGCCCCGAAGCCTACGAAGACCCAAGAGGCGGCGTGCTCAAACCTGCAGACCTCAAAGCCATCACCGACTACACCAAAGACGTGACCTCTTTCCACGCCCTGGGCGAAGCCTCTGTACCCTCTCCACCACGCACAGCATCCCCTAACCTCCTGAACGGCAACAGCACACCCACCCTCTCAAAACCTGACCCCCCTTCCCACACCCATACCAAAATCACATACACTCCCTCCGAGCAAAGTACCCTCAGCGCCCTCGCGCAAAAGAAATCCCACCTCCTCTCCCGCCGCGAAATGCTCACAGATCGCGACAAATTCGTCGCCCTAGTCAGCGCACGGCACAAGACCATCCTCGCGAAACTGAAAGAGACGGACAAATCCCTCAAAGACATCTGTGGCTACGACAGCCGGCTTACATGGTCCGACCACGAATTCGACGCCTGGCGAACGAGCGCGGATGGCGTGCAGGCGCTCGAGAGCGGTGTGCTAGGGGAGCCGCCGCGGGGGAAGTTGCATGCGATGCCGAATGGTACGGCGGTGGTGAAAGTCAATGGCGTCCTCCCACCACCAGTACTCACGAATGGCACAACGCCCAAGGCCGAAGGAGATGGGGATGGGGATGAGGAGATGCCAGATGCGGAAGATGGGAAACATTCCACCACCAACGCGGAGATTGAAGAGGGGGTGGAGGAGATAGGTAAAGGCGTGTGTAAGAAAAAACGCTGTGAGAGGCATAGAGCGTGGAATAAAAACCAGATGAACGATAACCTGTTCGAGAAGAATCAGGTGAGGGTGGCGCTGAAGAAGGTCGAGGGCGAGGAGAAGGGCGTTAGGGATTGTGCTGTGCTGAGGGGGCTGGAGGATGATGTTGGTGCTGCTGCCGGGGGGAGGGAAGGAGATGGTGTTGCGGATGGGGACGGGGAGGTATAAGGGTTGGAGGATTGGTGGGGGGTGGGGGGGAACGAACGTACATATCGCATACCACATGCTTGGTGATTCAGCGGGAGGAAATACCCCATCTATCTCATCGTGAGCATCTCGTGCCATGGAAGTCTTGTACTTATATATATATCTATCCAGTATAAATATGCTGCACAGTACTCTCGTCATTCTCGTTGGCTTGGGTGGTCTGGATGTACAAATATTATCAACTCTACATCCTCTCTCAACGATGGCAAAGAAAAGACTAAGACTGAGACTTGGAAAGGGGTAAGATGTCGAGTCGTGTAGCTTGTCATATGTCCATTGATTAACCTCTTATGTCTAAAATTTCTTCACATTTAATGATCGAAGCGACAACCCACCCATACCAAAGCCAACCACACCAACCCAGGCCAGTTAAATATTTACGACCCCTTCCCCCCTCTCCCAACCCCAACGTCCGTTTCTCCCCGACAAACCCAAATGCGTATGGGATGGAAGCCAGTGACGCCTGTTGCAGCATTAAGCCAGTATGTAGATGGGTTCCAGGCACTCCACACCCGCAGAACTTTTCGGGATGTAATCCCCCTCTTCCCCTGGGTTTGTAGGAATAGTATGTGTATGTGCGCAGGTGAAATGTACATCGTCGTGTCATGTCGTGGGAGTATGTAGGTGGTTTTGTCTCCAGACTTTGTGTACTGGGTCAGATCAGAGTCGGGCGCGATCATGTCGGACAAATGAGGACGAGTATGCAAGGAGGAATTTGCACCCCGGTCTGCTCGCATGAACCCCATTCCTTCGCTCCCATCTTCTAATCACCCACATCTTCGACTTCCTCATCCTTGTACTCGTACGTGATCTCGCCCTCCACCCCGCCGTCGTCTTCGCCGGGCCACTGACTCTCCACATCCTCCAGTCTCCCGTCGATTAGAGCGTCAGCGTTGATGCGAACGCTGTTCACCACGTTGTAACTGAACCCCTTCTTGCGCACATTACTCGCCTTGCCTCCCTCCCCAATATCACTATCCTTATTCGCGCCCCCGGGGGGCTTGTGGTCCGCAATAATTTGCGGAAAGATACTGAAACACTTGAACCCCCTTTCTTTCTCAGAGCACATGTCGTGGAGCCCGAAATCGACGGGTTTGGCGTACACGTCCATTGACATCCATTTCATGATCTTCTGGGCGCCGTGGTACGATAATGCGTAGGAGTATGTGCAGGTGGCGCCCTTGGAGGGCATTACGATGCGCGTGTTGTTCGGGTAGAGGGACATGTCGGGGATGTTGGCGAAATTCACACGGTGGGACAAGGGAGTGGTGGTAGGATCGTTCTTGATCAGGAAGCGCTGCCAGGAGCCGTTGAGGGGCTGGGTGCCGCAATGGCCGAGCCAGAGGAGGTCCCAGCCATCGCCGTACGGGCTATCGGGCGCTGGGTCAGCTTCCCCGTGGGGTGTGTTGAGGAGGGTCTGCGAGCCCAAAGCGAACCGCTCGAGTTGGTTGCGGAAGTCGACGTCCCAGTCGGCGTCGTCCTCCATGATCAAAGCAGACGCGTGTTTTTTCCGGATTATAGTCCGCGCGAAGTTCATGTGGCCTCGCCAGCAGCCGATCACGCCGTTTATGCCTTCTTTTTCATAGTCATAGATGCCTGAGACGGCTTTTTTGGGGACCTCGGCACCGGAGACGCCTTCCATTATGTCGAAGGAGAAGTTGGAGAGGGAGGCGGAGAGGCGCATTGCATCCAGCTTGTCGGTGCGGCCGGCCATGTTGAGGACGTAGATGTGCTCGAACTACGAGGCAGGGGGTTAGCAGGTGGGTCAAGCTGGGTAGGGGTGGCAGGGGAAGGGAGGGGAGGGGACTCACGCCGAGGGTATCATTGCGAAGGTCTATGAGCGATTCGCTCGAGAGTTTTCTGTTGTCGAAGACGGGGCCTGGGGCCACTGGTTCCTGCTCTTCTTCTTCTTCTTCCTCCTCTTCCTCTGGTTCACTTTGCTTATGTGATTGTTTGCTGGATTTCGATGAGGTCTTGCCTGCTAGCTTCTTATCTTTCTTGTATTCACTGTTGAAAGAGGAGGGCGAATTCTCCAGCGCTTCGTCGTCAGAGGCGGTGTCGGAACTTCCCTGATATGTGTAGGAGGTGGTATTCTTCCATGACTGTCGTTGGTTCTGTATTATGTCTCCAATCTCATCATGTTTTCTAAAGCCAACAAAGGAGAGGATGAGGATGCCGCCCAGCAGCAGGAGGAGTAAGACTTTCCGCCGTGAGTCGCCGAAGCCTCTGTTGAACATGGTGGATCTAGGTGACGGTGCGTCAAGGTCGTCGAAAGCGCCCATGACCGGCTGTGGAAGATGTGCGATGGAAGATTGACAGTGAATCCAATACGGTCGTTGAGAAGGGGTTTGCAAGTAGGCAGAGAGTGAATTCAGGAGTCGGTTAGCGACCTTTGGGCCAAGAAATGAGAGACGGTGTGGGGTTGGCGATTTTTGTCCCCAATGACAAGAGTCAAAACATGATAAAAGAGGCCTGTGTATTACTTCGGCCGACAACAATGTGCTTGTAAGGAGGGATGAGGTAGACGACGGACGGATAGAGAATGTGAGGGATAAAGAGGGAAGGGGGTGGGTGGGTCAACCCGAAGATAGTAGTCAGCCGGAAGATAATACTACTACTACTAATATCAGGCCATCCTATTTTCTTATTCTCCCTAGTGCCATCCAGTACCAATCTTTAGCCAAGTACCAGTCAAAGCCAACGCCCCTGATCTAGCAGTGATCTAGTCCTTTCCAGGCTACAATTCATCTTGAAAGACACAAGCGACTCCACTGAGGGAGTGCACTGGCCTTTAGCTCGCATTAGGTGGATACTAATCCCGCCTTAAGTGTCATAGTAGTGTGTGATGTTGGTGTTCCCTTCGGTAGGACCCTAGACCTGCCCAGAAAATCGTACATGGTGCATGGTGCATGCATCATGCACAGTTGATCCACCGGCTCCAGGAACCCCATAGGACAATGGATCCATGACGTCCGCATGAGCTTGCAGGGAGTTCCTGTACGCAGATTCGTAGGTGAGCGACAGCATGCGACCTTATCGTCGGGTCCCCGATCGGTAATCCTCGGCTGCGACGGCCGTGGTAAGGCCTGCAGGAGACATTTCGACCTGCTGCCTTTTTTGTGAATCGCACTGCTCTACGAAGAACTGACACTAGAGTCTCCTACATCTCGTTGCCGTGTCTTGCAGTGACCTCCCAAACGGGAGGTGTGATTCAGATTTGCTCTTGGCTGCACGAATCAATGGAGCGGAATCTGAGACCTCGCTTCCCACCCCCTATCCGGTCCAATCATCCAAATCTCCAACCCTCGCTGCAATGAGCAGTATGGACAGCGGAAAGCAAAAGCGACACATACAGTCTTTTAGGCCAGATGCCTTCGAGGCTTCGAGAGCAGCATCGTAATTAAGCGCCGTGATGCCAATGGTTTTGCCGTGCCACCAACAGCTTTGTCATGCGGTTGGCGGCATGGGCATGCGTACATTCTGGCCGCGCAATTCGGATACGACAAAGCCGTGCACAGGCAGTGACAGCGCATGAGAGTTTGCCTGCACGGCTACCTGCATGCTCTTATGCAGGGTTCCCGAACAACAACGCCACCAGAAGGTGAGCCTTCTCCAGGCACTTTAACCACCACTTTTATGAATGAACTGGATGTCGGTGATCGTGTGCTTCTCTGATTAAAACACAAAGGCCATTCGAAGCCTGTTATTTGTGGATTGTGGTTTGAATACTACATTTAGCACTTATGGGACACATCCGCTTGAAGCCTTGTGCAACTGATATCTTGCGCAGTAACAGCCTTATTGTGGTGACCTAGGCTTCCATAACGTCGATGAGAATCATTCTTCTTGCAAATCATTGGCAATCGGTTCGGACAAGTATGGCTTACGAGACACCATGCCTGACTCCGGCGGGAGTGAAGTCACAGTTGCTCTCAACGAATTACTGGTCTTCAGGGATGCCGTGAATCCAATGACGATGCAAACATTACATTTCATCGACGAAGATGCCCAGTGCAGTACGAATGACCTATCTCAAGCCACTTTGCCTGCCAAAAAGGCAATCGCAGCCTCTTTATGTCTGCTGCCGGTTGCCAGGCGCTTCGCCGTTCAGGCGGCTAGGCACAACATGGTCGGTGAGCTTGCACAAATCTAGGTCATCGCTCGTGTACATTGCTTATATCAGTCGGTAATTCGATTGCTTTTGGAAATTCTGGAGCTAAGCTTAGCATTTCCCGGTAGCCTGATCTCCCACAATGGATCTCGTCAACATTCTGGGAAGTAATGAAGGCATAGCCAGTCTGGGTGCGCAACTCGGACAGTTGTTGCAAATGGAGATGGTTCATACGCCCGAGCCACCTTTTCAGATTTTGGTACTTATGGCTAAACTGGGATCAACGAGTGAACGTGTAAGCCAATTGAATGAACTGCTTAAAGAAGACATAGCGCGAGATGACAAAATCATCAGCATACGTGGCATCCACAAGTTCTACACACTTCTCGGGGAATGTAACGATGGCTTCCGCAGAATCGCTATCTTGATTGCTAAAGCGGGACCAGGAGTCCTCCTGAGAGTCAAAGAACACCAAAACAGGTGCAACAGCCAGGCGAAAGAGCAGTCTCAGGGTTCTCAAGAGATGCAATTACAATTCGAAGTCGCATGCTCTGATGTTTTGGTCTCTTGTCGGACGCTGTCAGGCATGCAGGGATACAACACAGCTTTAGATGTATTGGAGAAGGATCTGGGCTTTTGCGTAAATGTACTGCGCTATGCTTCAATGATGAGGCTGTGTCAATCTGAGTAAGAGCCCCCATCTCAAGCACCTTCCACTTGAAACTCACACGCAATCGTTCAGTCAGGCTTCCGACGCACGTAAAACAGAAGCTCAAATGTTCTCCTACATGTGTGAAGCATACAAGAATCTCCTTGAATACACGTCCTGCCAAGATTCGACTGATGATAGACAAGCCATAGAAGATAATGGACACGGTCCGAACCAGGAAGACTCTGCTGTGGCTGACGTGACGATCGACGATGAGCGGGAAAAGCAAGCCTCAGCGTTCGTTCAAAACTGGTCTGCTTCAAGTTGTGACGAGTACGTTCCTCATTTCTGACTCCACAAATGTAAAGTGCTCTCATTAAAGACATAAAAGCTAACATGGCCTATCCTAATCTTTATCAACTGCTGACCCCTCCCCAGGCAGACATTCATCGAGCAGATGCACGACTTAGGCATCGAATTCAAGGGCCTTCAACTCACCGTAGAACCTCACCGAAGGACGTTTCTAGAGCTACCGATTAATACTCACGAGCTTGTTCAAAGAATGAAAAAGTACGAAAGAAATGAAAATGCCGAGCTTGTTAGCACCTTTGAGACGTTCTGCTCCTACACAATCATCGAAGCTTCTCCACCTTGAAGTTGAGCACAGAAACGCGTCGGCCGGCACATGGTTTGCCAAGCTGCTCCCGTGGAAGAAGTCAACGCATCTGTCCTTGGTGATAGCTCTTTTCGAAACTTCGAAGCCATCTTCGAGGGAATGTAAAATCTCGGAAAGGAACACGTTCGAGGCTTCGTTTCTATCGGAAGACGGCATAAAGCCCAACAAGACGCTGCTTGACCGATTCAAATCATTGACGGGTCTCTGGGGCGACCAAAGTGCCGCAGAGATCCATCTCCGCCGCGTCCGATCATCAAGTATTGATTCAATTGGCCTACGACCAGGGATGTTAGGAGGTGTCAGACCGGAGCACTGGCTCCGTTGCCCTCTAGCACGTTATCCCAACGTCCCCCACAGTCACTGCCGCTGCGATGAGCCAAGTCTGAGGAGTAGAATCAGCCAAACCAGTCACGAAGCGCCAACCATTTACGAAATACGGAGGTCCAGCAATGTAGGGCTCTGGACTGCCGATAATCCTCGCGAGCGTCATAATCTGGCTTTATCACCAAAATCATTCACTCTTGAGAAAGAGATGAAGGACATCATGGGGAATTACTTAGACGAGTGGACGACATTGAAGTTTGTGAGCGAGATTGGAGATGATGATGATCGCGACCACAGAGATACTGACGGAAATAACGACCAGTCTGACCTCGCGTGAGCAAATGTGACAGATGGAAACCGCCCCAGAGGAGTCGCTGCCACGGTCTGCGGGTGATGGAGATTCAAATAAGAACAGGGTCAATTTTTCTTCCCTTGGTAACATTAGGTGTCAGTATCAATTGCGAATTTCTTTGGCGTGATGACAGGATGGAGCGGAGAAAGCTGAAATCTTGAGTTTCAAGAATGGGCGATGCTTGGAATACTATCTCCATCATCTTTCTACGACAGCCGAAAGAATAGTTTTGAGAAACAGGAGGCGGAAATCTAAGGTAAAAATGAAACTCAATCTTCTAAAGCCAAGGTGATGGTCAACCTCACATAGCATCACCATCTTCTCTCGTCCCGAATCATTTGGTTTTTTCTCCATCTTATGTGTATGTAGACGAGGTGACTGACTTAGGCGAAGGACATTGTTAGCCTGATCTAAAGGCTGGTAACAGCAACGTGAAGTCGAGTCCAGCCAGCCGCGTCCGGTCAAGATATGAGACATTCAATCTTAGGATGGTCACAAAGTCGTGCCGCACTCTTTCTAGAGCTCTGGGTAATACGTTGACGGGATGTTCCCGGAAGAATTCTCACGTTGATGCTAAGTCTTCCTTTCGACGCAGGAGATGCTGAGGCTAAGTAGTGTCTGACTAGATACCTTGAGGACCTGTCCTATGATATGAATACCTTGGGCTTGAGAACAAAGAAGTTTTTTCATGGATATCTTAGAGCAAGCAATGACGACAAGCGACACAGGAAATGGTCATGGGATCGTCAAGGTGCGGTCGAACACCATGGCCAAGCCCCACCCCCAGTCAAAGAGATATTTATAGCCGGCGTCCACGCCCTTGACGATGATCACTATGCATGTGTGCACATGATCAATATGCACAGCAATTCGTGGCTTTGACGGAGTGATCACCCAAGTTGGCTGGTGTGATGCAAGGCATGGCAAAGCACGGGAAAACACCTAATCTCCGAAGCTATGAAAGATAGTGGAAGCCTTGAGGGCTCTTTCTAGGCCGCCCACTATCAATATGCCGTCATTCAGCTTTGAGCTGCATAGTCAAAAAGGTACAATGACGGGCGGGTCGGAGAATTTTGCCGTGTCTGCTGTGCTTTACCCCTGCTGGGGCATTCCGTTCCAAACAAGCCCACAGCACCCTATCACGAAGTCGAACGACCCGCAATTCTCCTGGCGAGCAGCACTTCAATTCAGCCTACTGATATGACGGGCGAATTCTTTGGCTTGCCCCCGCGTCGTCAGCTCATAGCCATCTTCGCCTCCCTACTACAGTGTCCAGGTCTGCTATCACACCTCCGATGACGGCAAGCAACAAGAATCTACATCAGTACATGCTAGCTAAAGGCCAATAGAATGTTTAGCCGTGGTTGTGGTGCTCTCGACGGTGGCACTTAAGAGTGACGGTTCTTTTGCCGTCCACCAACGCTGAATCCAGCTGAGAATGATGACTTGTACCCTACCACACCCGAGAATCTCTAGATGCACCCCTTACCTTGAACTTCCGCTAACTTCAGGACGCCCATCTACCAGTCACACTACGCTGATTATCCTAACCAGCATGAGGATAAAGAGGGGGGATACTATTCAAATTACGGCACCAGCTGATGTTCTACGGGTTGACAGCTTGCGTGTACTTTGATTGTGGTGTGGTCCATGCCGATGGCGACTCTTTCTGCAAGGTAATTTTCTGGTTATAAGATCGATTGACTATCCAATATGTTCTATTCGGATGTGCAAGACGCTGTGTACATACCAATCCAGTTCTCCTAAATTTCAAGATGCATATTCCTAACCTTCTTCTCTTGCTTCTTTTCACAATATTTTCTTCGGTCTCCCCCAGTCCTTTACTAGCAAGCAGACAAGATACCATCGCGAACCCCAGTTTCGCCGGTGCCAATAATTACTACATCCATGCAGCAAGCGACGCAACAATAGACGCTTGGGTCACCGCCCTTCAAGCCAAAGGCGCCAAAATCGTCCGACTATGGGGCAAGCCACGCACAACACAATCCACAAAACACACATACTAATCAAACCCCCTAGTCCAAGGCTACTCAGCCGGCTGCACAAAAGGCACCACAACCCGCGAGATCTACGACTTAGAACCCACAACCCTAGGCGTATACAACGGCACGCCTCTTCCTCCCCTCCTCCCCCTTCCCCCTCCATACTTGTACTTACTAACACCCCCCAACAGACACCGTCCTCACCGCCCTCGACGCCCTCCTCGCCCGCCTCCCCCCCTCGGCATCAAAGCCATCATATCCCCGCACAACGCCGGCCGTCTAAACGCCTCCTCCCCTTCCTCCCCTTCCTCCCCCAACGGTATCCCCCCCGTCAACGGCTTCGACCAATACACAACGACCTACCTCGCGGACGAATTCTACACCGACCCCACCGCTCTATCCGTCTACCAAGCCCGCCTCACCCACATCCTGAACTACGTGTCCCCCAGCTCTGGCAAGAAATGGGCCGCGTGGACTGAAGCCATTGCCGCTTTCGATCTGCAGAATGAACCGTTTTTGTTCTCGACGGGGTTGTTGGATCGGGAGGGGGTGCGAGCTGGCTGTGTAGTGTAGCTGGCACGATTAAGGGGGCGATTACGGCGGCAGCAGCAGCAGGGGAGGGGATGGGGATGGGGAAAGGCCATTAGTCGCCACGGGCGCGGTGGCAGGCGCGTGCGAGCACGGGTATAACTTCCACCCGGCCGCCACGGGCTGTGCTGATATCGACATCATCTCCGTGCACGGTTTCGCGCAGGGGATGGACGAGGGGAGTAATACTTTCCTCAACGATAGCTGTGACGCGTCGGATCTTCTAGCGGATGCGACGGGGGATGCGGTGGGGAAGTTCGTCATGTTGGAAGAGATGGGGATAGATCCCACCAAAGCGGGCACTACGACAACGTTTGATTCTGTGACAGCGGGGTACAATGGGGCTGGGGGAGGAGAAGGGGGAGGGGGAGGGGGTGGGGTATTGCCGTGGATGTACTGGCAAGTCGTCCCCGAGTGTGACGGGGCGTGCTGCACGGCGAGCGCGGATGAAAATGGGTATGATGGGTATGAATTGCATTTTGAGGGGAGTGGAACGGCGGATTTGGCCGCGGCGTGGGGAGGGGCGACGGCGAAGAATGCGAGTCAGGATTGGACGGGGACGGGGTTTTTGGGAGGGTATGCTTAGGAAGGAGGAGAGGGGAGGAGGTTGTTACATGCGAGGAGGGGGGAGGGAATGAAGGATAGAGTAGAGCTATTCTGGTCGTTTGAAGGGTTTGACTTGCCTTCGTTTGGGGTATGGTCGTTCGATCGCTGCTTTGGTGCTAGATCTGTGCTCTGCAATAGGAAAGGGCTACTGCTTGCCTTCTCTGAGTATGTGTCTGCTTAAAGGGATAATTGGTCACCATACTCGGCTCCACCACAGCTTTCTCTGCCGTGCTGCACATAACGACTCGTACAATCCGCCTTGAGCAATTCGCGGCTTATTCTGGTACGTCACTTGAATGCATGATCTACCTGAGCTAATAGCCTGCAACGTATAGCATATGCAGCCGGGCTGGTAATATTCAGCTCGAATATCTCTTGAGTGTATTGGAAAATTGAAGCACGGTCAATTATGCCTAGCTTTTGCAGTATAGCTATGAAGTGATATATAACCTTTTTGATGGCATGCATTGCGGAAAGCGGTCTCTTAAATAAAGGTTGATATAGATATCGGTTTCTGAGGAGAGGGTAAAGGTTGAAACTCTTTCTCAAGAACGATTAATATTAGAAGAGACTGCTAGATATAGAATAATTTCGATTTTAGACGCTATCTTACTACATACTACTATGAATCGCCTTCTCTTATATAAGAAAACTAAGTGAAACATTATAATTAGGCTAAAGCACATAATTTATAGACATCTTAGCCATGACAAGTCAAGCGTAACCTCCAATTTTTGAGATTCAATCTCGAAGCAAGGTAAGTAAAGCAGAGCGAGCCAAGGGAAAATGCCCCAAGATCTATGCCAATGAGCGAATCCAACCACTTTAAAAGCCTCTTAAAATTAAATCCGCCTCAATTTCGATCACAATATCTCTAATCTAACGTCGCAGCAACTACACACATCTCCAGCCATCCCGCAGCAAATCCACCATCAGCTAAACCAACCACGCATCCCTCCCACCACCACTATCGCATTCCCAACATCCCGAATCCCAAATACAACCCTATCCCCAATCCCGCCCCCAAGCCCACCGGCACAACAGTCCTCCCACCCCCAGTAAAAGGCACACTACCCCCCCTTCCCCCCCTTTTCCCCCTTCCCCCCTATCACCACCGTCCCCACCCACCACACGTGCAGTCCCAGTAGCAGAACCCCCCGACCCCGAGGCAGTCGACAGTGGAGACCCCGGCACAAGAGTCTGGTTGAAGCCTGTCGGATACGGCGCGGTGTTACTGACGCGACAGGAGCTTGTGAGCTTCGGCTGTGCTCCGCCGACGGGCGCGCAGAGGACGTCGAGGAGGAATGTTATTACTGTTTTTCAGGGAGTTAGTGTTTACACTTGGGTAGGGAGGGGAGAGGAGGGGAGGGGAGGGGAGGGGGTTTGGTAGGTGGGAGTTGGCAGGATCGTATCGTGATGGTAAAGTGTGGAGAAGGGGTAGGGTTAGGGATGGATGGGGATAGGGGAAACCTTGGGTGACTTGACGCACAGTTTAGATCATCTCGTGAGCACAGTTCCACCTCGCATGGTGTGATTACTTCGTCGGTAATAGGGCAATGACATGCGCAACTGCGGTCCCTGATGCCGTTGCAGCCGGCTGCTGCTAGAGCTGGTGGTTGGCATGTTTGCTGAGTCGATCCTTTCGTCAGCTTGACACCGGCAGACGATATCGAAGTGAAGAAGCATGGTGCGTCTACGGAATGGATGGCAAGTGGGGGGACTTACCGCGCAGCTTGGGTAGTCAAAAGGGTTCATGGGATCAAGCGTTGCGAGCGCTGCCAAGGCAGATGATGTCCCAGAGGAGATGGCAGCTGAAACTGCGGAGCTGAGTGAAGGCGATGCTTGGTAGAAGGACTGGCAGGGGTCGAGTGCCAATTGCGCTGCTCCTATTTGTCCACAACATCGGGATCAGAATGCGGAAGAAGGGGTCATCAGGGTGACTTGATGGAGCTGGAAGAGTGGGGCTTTACGGAGCAATAGCCAAGGGACGTACTTAGGTAGTCGGTATCATCACAAACCACAGCTTCGCAAGCAGAAGCATTGCCACGACTGGCCGGACTGCATTGGCATGCGAGGTCGGCTTCTTGAGTGGGGTTGAGGCATGTGTAGATGTTGGTACCAGCGCAGTTAATCTGGCCAAGATATTAGCAATATCATAAGTAATGAGGGACATGGCATGCGTACTGAGCATTTGGGATAAGAGGTCAATTTCACGCCAGCAGCACTGGATGTTGGTGTCTCCTTGGACACAATCTGCACCGCATGCGACTCCGTGATTCTGCTCAATGCAGGCACAAGGATATATGATATCACAATGCTTAACAGAAAGATAACATGCATGTTGAAGATATTCTTACAGAAAGAGATGCATGATGGATGAGTGTGAGGTACGAAGTGTCGACGAAAGAAGAGATCGCTAGCGTGGCCGGCGCCCTAGCTTCATTTACCACTTTAGCTATGTTGACTGATTCCATGTCAATTTCGCGATTTCATTGGTGCACAGGGAGTAGAACATTGTGCTCGTTGGTTCGGCTGAGCTGCATGTTGTCTTTAGAACCACTGAACGCTCCGCGCTTGGGGCATGCATGCCTGTGCACGAAGCATCGTGTGCTCGGCGGTCACAAAGAGTTGGAGTTTCTTGTCGCCAAAGGCAGAATTGACTATCAAGTCAAGAAAAGTTGAGAGAAGAATTGAAAAGCCAAGTGCAATAAGTCTTTGCCAAAAGCAGAAACTCGAGCGGGCGTCACGAGGCTAGTGCAAGGAAACGCCTATTCCTGGAGACACTGTACAGCTTCAAGTAAAACCATCGTGACCATATCCTACGACGGAGCCCTTGCATTTACCAACGACGATCAAGCCCCTCCTGGTAGCCTCCCTTCCTCGCTGTAATCATCTTCTACCTTGTTATCCGCCCAGCCAAAGTAGTGAGCCTCGACATGGCGTCCAAGCTCAAAATCAAAGCGCAGGGGTAGAAGGCACTCACGCATTGAGAAATTACATGTCGTTGGCATTAGAGGCTTGTCACCAGTGTCGCAGCTAAACGTGTAGCTCAAAAATGGAGCCATCCAAGAGACGGGAGGGTGGTGGGGATTTATTGGCCAGAATGCGTGTGTTGTTGTCACCTTCACAGGAGCATCCTCTCTGAGAGCAAAGCGCTTGATAAAAGCTTCGTGCCTATGTTTGGGATGTAAATGCAGAAGTATGAGGCGAGGAAGCTACTGACCTCATCATCATGGTCATCGCGGCCCTGGTACCCAAAATGAGATTGTCGACGTGCTGAGAAGAGTCGATGCTTCTCTTTGAGCCGAGTCCACCATAAGCAAATGCTGAACGATGAAGCCAGTAGATAGACAATCGTTATTCCAGTTTGGAACTTCACTACAAGACTACATACCTCGGCATCTGTGATACCCCCGTAACCTTTCCGCTTCCAGATCATTTGAGCGATCTGTGATAGAGACGTCTCAGCATTGGGTCTATAATCAGATATTGTTCATTGCTCACCATAGACGCTTGATTGTCAGACATCACTTGTACTTGACTAGGCATTCCTGTCTTGTTTCGAGCGGAATTGATTTTGAGAGACGTGACAGTCGTTTCCGTAATATTGTCATATTCGCCGCAAGGAAGCACCCTTGGTAATGCTTGGTCTCTTACCTTCAACGCCACCATATTCATGCCATTCATAGCCGTAAGCTCACAATCGGCCGAGGGTTCATAAGTCTCTAGCTTCATGGATTGGTGGGTCTCGTCGAGGAAAGCCATGACGTTGTTGTCGATCCAAACGTCGTACAGGTAATGGGGATGAAACCCTACACAGGTCTTGCCGTGTGGTCATTTTTCGTTGAGGTTTTGGACATCAAACACAGTATCAATGGAGAAGGCCACTGGCTTGAAAGAAGATGGTGAAGTCTCTTGGATGATCTTCTTTACCAGCTCTGCAAAGTGTGCTTTGGTTTCACTTTCATTTCCTTTGAGTGAAACTCTAATCCGAAAATGCAATTGAATATTCGCAAGCGGCTGACTGAAGAATCTCGTCAGAACGTTAGAAGACTCCTTTGCAGGATACGTTGCCGCTGATGCCCAGGCTATAAGACACATCATCACCAAATTACGTCCAAGGAAGCCACTTCACTTTCCGTAGTACATCCGAAACATTCGGTCATCATAGCCGTAAGGGGGATTCGAGAGCTCGAGGGAAGCCTCGAAATTAGACTTCTTTGGAACAAATTCCTTTAATGTTCCAGAAGACGACCAGACGTGGAACGGGAGGACACCATATAGAACTTGGTCAAGATCCATGTGGTACAAATCGACTCGACCCGGACCTAATCTAGCGGCGAGGTCTTGGTAAGGTATGAATGTATTGAAAAAGTCGGATTGGACCAAATTTGCACCGCTTTGGATGAACACATATCTTTTGTTAGAACCTTCATCTTCTTCGTTGTCTTGAGCAAGTCCTCTGTAAAACATGACTCTGAACTTAGATTGTTGGCCGACATCGTAGCCTATGTCTTGTCTCATCGTGACTCGAGGCCTGTTTCGAAAGGTGTCCCACATGAAGTGAGCATTCATTGGCTGTGCCACTAGATCTGCATACCCATCCGGACGGAATCCACCTGCACCAAATCAGTGAATAAAGAAAATAAGTATGACAAGCTTTACCGGGATAGTCAGGGGGCTCGGTCACATCATCGAATGCATCGGATTGTGCGTCCAATTTAGGTAGTCTGAATGCTGTGTTGGCGTTTTCCTCCGTTTTGGAGCTGTCCTCTATCTCTATTTCGGGAATGTATGCATTGTTCATTTTGGAATTGGGCGACGGCAAATGTACTGGTAACGTTAGGGGGAATATGGACAGGAGGCTGAGGAAGCATCTCCAGATTTACCATTTAGTATAATAAAAGCTACTTGTTAAGCTAAATCACTCATTGCAATATACTTCAAGATAGCATGATAGATCTATCACGATGTCATATATTTAAAGCCGACGAATGGGAACTGAGAGCCACTACTGCAAGTCTAAGCCAGCTACTGGGCCGAGACCGTCGTTTAGTTTGGGCTTGTCCTGGGCAATGGGTCGGTCAAGTCCAATCTGGAAGAGTCCAGACTTGCCTTCCAGCTGAAAAGGTAATGTGGCTTGTGGCAATTGATTGTGATTGCTCGGTAAGCCTTGCAGTAGTGACTTTCCCAGCTGCCTTGTTCGGCGCCACATTGCTTCGCTGTCAGGCTAAACAAAGTGCCACGAACGGCTTGACCCTCGGCTTTCTCCCGAGATGGTTGTTACTGTGAAATGTAAAAGCTTCTTCCTCGCTTGATCAATGCGACCATGGAAGCCTGCATGCCTGAATAACGTCGGTTTTCTGAGGCCGATATTTCGCCTGCATTTACTTCTGCTCAGCAGGCACACTTGCTCGTGAAGAAGTAAGAGTCAGTCGTAAGGAACAGCTATTCCGATAAATGGTAAGAGGTACTGGTTTTGCTGTGCCTGTGAAACTGTTTGCCCAAAAGAAAGGTTTCAAGGAGGACTGCAAGATACTCTCGTAAGTGAGCACGTGAAAACATATTGGGGGCCACTGGATCAGGCCCAGACTTGAAAATTCCATCTCATGTTTCGCTGACTTCAGGAGTGAGCACATTATTCGGTCAATTAATGCAAGGGAAATGAGGTGGAAACGGTCTTATGACGGAAACGTCATTCGCACGGCAAGAACCAAACTTCAATTGGAAACTGATGTCTTCCCCACAAGGTCAAGAAAGCCTTGCCTTTATGGAAATCAAACGTGAAGACGCGGTAGAATCAAGAGATAGGAGATGGGCGGTTTTCAGATCTAATGAAAGATACCGCCTATTTTATCCACCCAATCAGACCCCTGTCTCCCTGCGTCATAGGACCAGGCCATCATCCGCCAAAAACTTGGAGCTTGATGTTGCACGACGTCCAGATCCAGACGTACTCTACAATCCATCACAGCCAATTCTCCGGGACTTACTACATTCATCCACGACATTGAAAAGTCATTACACCTCAGCCATCCTCGCACGAGTCACCAATCATACCCCTCTCGCCTCATCTCCACGCTCATTCTCACTCGCACTCAACTGAACCTTCACCCGCAACAATGGGCCTCCTCGACCCCATCTACAGTTTCGCAAACACAGCCATCTCCGGTGCAGGCGGTGCAGTCGGCGGCGCCATCTCATCTGTTGGCGATGGCATCTCCTCCACCGGCCGCAACCTCGGCGACAGTGTAGCCGGTGCAGCTAACGGGTATGTCTACCCAACCTGTTACCTAACCTTCCCCCAGTCTCCCCTTCTCCTCCTCTCACTCCCCTCTACACCAATATGAATCCAAGCTAATCCCACTACCTCAAGGTACGCCTCCTACGTAAACGACACCGCGAACTACGTCCGCGACGCCACCGGCGCCGAAGGCGTGCGCAAGGGCACAGGCAACAACCCGCTCGGGCTCTCCTCGGGCAAAGAAAGCGCTCGCTCCTACGGCGGCGCCACATCCTACAAAGGCCTCTCATCCACCTCCTCGGCCCCGTCCAAGGCCGCCAAGAGCGCGAGTGCGAACGTTGGTGCCGCGAAGAAAGCACCTGCGGCTGCGCAGAAGAAAGCCACGGGTGCAGCAGGTGGAGCAGCGAAGAAAGCGCCCCCTGCTGGCGTGGGGAAGAACGTGACTGGCAAGCCGGGCAATGCGGGTAAACCCGCAGCCACTGCGAAGGCGCCGGCCAAAGCGCCTGCGAAGCCAGCGCCGAAACCGCCGGCGGCGGCGAAGGGACCAGCGGGCGGGACGAGGGCGGCGGCGGCTGGGAAGGTAGGGGGAGCGGGGGATGCGGGGAAGAAAGTCGGTGGGACGGTTACGGGGATGAGTGGGGGGTTGACGCCTGCGCAGAAGGCGTTGGCTGCGAGGAAGAAGTAGGTGGATTCGAGGAGGGCGAGAGGCAAGGGGGAAGATGGGGCGGTGGAAGAAGATGAGAAGACGTTGCGGAGACATGTGAGCGGGTTTGAAGGGGAAGTGAGTCAAAGGAAAGGGGGGTTGTGTATCATATGACATATATGTACGCGTGCGGAGCCTGCGATGTGTGTCTCACATTGAATCGATGAGCGAGTTCTCCTCTTACTTCAGACTTTGTCCCTCCCCACCTCCGTCCATGAGGCTGCAACCTCATTATCTCTGACAAAGTCTGTCACTAAACGCGTAGTCGTGTATCTGCCCACGAAGTGTTCGTAGATGGTTGTAAGAGGTATAATGAACACTTATGGAACCAAAGCGTTAGTCGATAGATTATTTTCGGAAGGTTCCAGTTGGTTGTTGCGTATGATATCTTGCAGGCTATGAGGTGGGGAAGTGATTGAGGGTGGACTTTTGTGGGAGGTGGTTTATCGTTTTAGGGCTTTTGTATGCCTTGTTTACCTATGGAGGATGTTGTGAGAGGATGGGGTGGGGTTTCGTAGTGGTGATAATAGCTGCTAGACTTAAGAAATTGACTGGCACTGGTTTGTGTAGTAGCTGTTAGGTGTGTAAGAGGCACTTACGGGGTATAGAGGTCTTGTATCTACCCTCTCTGCCCACTGAGGGCTTTTGCAAGAGGAGGAAAAAGGTAGGCTTTCATTATAGACCTGACTAAAAGACTCAAGGAATCAACTGGCACTGGTCTAAAAGTCATTTTTAGATCTGCAAAAGGCACTAGCAAGCGAGAGAATAATGAAAAACACCGCGATCTATTGGTTCACTAATTGATACTACCTTCTATACTCATCTCTCATCACTCATTACGTCATCTCCACCCAAGAACAAAAGAAAAACAGGCGAATCAAAACTTTTACAAAGAAAACCACGCCTAAGAAGGCGGCCCCATCCTCCTTCCCTGTCTCCACTTCCTCCCCTCCCCCTTCCCAACATCAATACTAGCCAACAAGGCATCAACATCCACGCCTTCCTTCCCACTCGTACTCCGTCTCTCCTGCCTCCTCTCCTTACTCCCGGCCGCCAAACCAGGATGCCCAGGCGGCAACCCCTGGCTCAGCGGCCTCGTCGGCACTGGAATCGTCGTCGGCAGCGGCGGCACGGGGGGGACCTCATCAGCATACTCGCCACTGGGACGAGGCGGCTCGCCTCTCAGCGCCGCAAGATTAGCATCCGGGTCCTCACCCGCGGCGGAACTGGACGTGCTAGGGCGGAATTCGGGCCCATTGAGCATGGTATCGCGCATCTTCTGCGGCAGCTCCTCCACCTTCGCAAAGGCCGGGTTGTCGGTGCTGAAGATGCGGGTGGGGGAGGCAGGCGGGCTCGCGGTGGGAGGCGGGGGCGCAGCGGCGTAGGAGGCGGCGATGCGGTCGACGAGCTCTGCGCGGGAGTCGAAGGGCCGGATTGACATGGTTGCTAGTTCTGACGGGGAGGGGCGGTTGGGGTCGAAAGTGCGAGCGCGCGAGGGGGCGGCGAGGATGTCGTCGAGGAGACCGGGCGGGATGCGGATGCCGTCCATCCAGAGGCCGGCGCGCTTGCGACGCTGGATCTCGCTTTGGATCACGAAGCCGACGGTCGTGCCTTCGATGGCGAATTTGGAGGTCAGTTTCCACAGGTAGCCGTGCACGAGGGAGCCGATGTTTATTTTGGCGATGGGGTTGGTGGCTTTTAGGTCGTTGTTGATGTCTTCTTGTAGGCGCAAAATCATTGGCAGCCCGGTTTCGACGGCGTTTACGCCGAGGCGCTCGACGAGGTCGGCGAGGAGTAAGTGAAGGAGGAGGATGTCTGGCTCCGATTCTGGTGACTCCAGGGCAGTTTCGTAGACTGCTAGATGGAGTTGCTGCAGGAATATTGACTTTTCCTTGAGTTGGGTTTCTTCCCAAGAGGCTTTGTGCCTATTCGTAGATGTTCTATGAGGCAGGTCTTCATCCATTTTCGTTGCAGCACTCTCATTTAAAGACGTGATGTCGTCTATTTGTGGCGTGCTAACGCTCGTCTTCGACATGTTGCTGTCCTTCTTCAGCGTAGCATCGTCCTGTTGCGGCTTGCTATCGTCCGTCTTCAGCGAAGATGTGTCCTTCTTCAACATCAGATCGTCGTTATTCATGCCGTCTTTCGGTCGGACCTCTCTCTTTGAGGGTCGCCTCTGTAATTTGTTATGTTCCAGTACTCGCACATCATTTGAGCTCATCTCTAGTGACAACCAGGTCATCAGGGCGTCAACGTAAGCTCGTCTCACTCTTCGATCCTCGTCATACATGAGCCATTGTGTTCCCTCCCAAGCCTTGATGCCAGCACGACTGCGTCCCATGGATGGAGCATTCTTTGCTGTGGTTTTTCCGTTTGCAACTATCAAGACTCTCTTGATTGCTTTGAGTGCTGTCACGCGTGCGGTGCCAAAAGAAAAGAATTCTTCAGGGTTCTCTGAGGCTGCTTTGGAAGCTTGTTCTTCTGACAGTGAGTTACTGGCGGATGTTGGGCGTTTGGGGCTGGTTTTGGTGGATCTGGTCGGTTTCAGACGCTGGAGTATGGTGGTTACAATATCAAGGACTTGATCAGAGTAGTAGAGATGTGTGACGAGATTTCCGATGCAATGATGCAGTTTGTTCAGTAGCAATTGGCGGTTGGATGAAGGTAGTGTCTCATCATCGCTGCCTTTCATTGCTTGACTGTTTTCAGCGGGATCGTTACTCTTGAATATATCAATAGCTTTTGTCTGGTGGTGATGTGGGAGCGAATCGCTGGGTAGTTGCAGATTCACAAGTATCTGTTTTAGAAGACTGAGTAGAACATCAATCACACTGAGTCCGATCATGTTCACGTCTGATGATAACAACCAGTCAATTAGCGAGACAAGAGTGATTTGCTGTTCCAGACCATCTTCGGTTGCGGGAATCTTAGCGAGATAATCAACCATTGTGATAAGTATGATGAAGCGATCCTGTACTGGTGCCCATTGTGTTACCATTTCAGTCAATGTATTTGCCCATGAAGGTCGAGTGAGCGAGCGCGAGCTTCTGCTTGTCGCAGGTCGTCTCTCAAGAGCCTTTGTGCAGACAAATTTGAGCATTGCGTCTGTTGCGGAACGGATTTGACTTCCATTGTTGGGAGTGAATATTTGCTTCAGGCCTTGGATGGCTAGCAAGCTCACTTCTTCTTCTGCGATTCGATCAGCATCATCGGTTGCGCCATCGACTTCTGCAGTCGTAGGTCGTGATGGATCTTTGTTAGTCTGCACAGTAGCCACGCTTATTCTCCTTCTGAGAGCATTGTCGTCATTGCTTTTCTCATCGGTGGAGCGTCGTTGAAGGGCAGTCAAGCTATGTCCGTCTCCTGCATGCAGGTTCTGTAGGATTGCTGGCATGATCTTGCTCATCTGTGTTCCGCTGTCGGCTTCAAGAGCTTCTGAGGACGTTGCACATTTCATGGCTTTGAGACCAGCTATCCTCCATCGGAGTGCTGTTGGTGCGTTGAGTCCACCTTTTGGCTGGAAAGGGAGTTTGAGTGCAGCGTAACTTGCGTAGGTGTCGATCACTTCTTCATACTGCTCGACGTATTTGTTTTCGCCGGCGAAGAAGGTTGCGTAGTTGTGGTGACAAAAGGCTTCGAAGACAGGAACGGATTCCTCTATGGTGGAGAGATCTTTGGAGTGAAGAATGGTTAGGAGAATACGGAGTATGTATGTGGCGTAGAGTGGAAGATCGCGAGGCGTCTTTTCAATAAGCGACTTGGCTATTTCAAGGGTGACTTGAATGTTGCTGTATACAAATATCAGCAATCTGGTGTAATAGATGGTAAATGAGGCTCGACTTACCCAGTCTTGGTCTTATTTACGTCACTTGCAGTTTTCTTGTCGAGGTATGAAGCCACCTTTGGTAGCTTGCTTCGTCTTGTAGAGGCGTAGTAGAGGAGGTAGCTGAGTTCAGAGGGGTTTGCTCTGACCTCGCTCTTCTGGTATCGTGGGTAGCATTTGTGGATGAGGAGTTGATGCTTAGGCATCAAAGTCTGGTGGAGGGTGTTCATTTTGGCGGTTTTAGTGATTTGGATGTTTAAAATTGGTTGCTTTAATGGTCTTTGGTTTTAAAATTGGTTGGTTGGTATGGTTGTTGTGGTGTATCGTGGTTGGCGGGGAGCCTGGTGGACGCAGTGATTCTTCTTCAACTACGCCCGAGGAGAGAGAAAGAGACTGAGAGAGAGCTTGCTTTTATACCTGCGCGGCAGGTTTCAATTCGCGCTAGAGCGAAACGGGGTACGATTAGGCTTTGTATTAACTTATAACTCCCTCAATTCACAATTGCATTGGCTGTAAACGTCTCCACTAATCTTGAAACTTAATTAGAAAGGCTAAAAATAACTTGCATTGACTTACGGCTGCCTTAATGTCTCTTTGAACTAGCTTTTAGTAATGTGCGACTTATCTGAAGCGAGATGTTCATACCGCATTGATATCTGCTCAAGCTTCAGACGGGCTGCAAGAAACTTTGCATATATTAATTTAGCCGGTTGCAAATGTGTTTCAGTTTCTAGATGCCTCGTTGGCCTAAGCTCTACCTTATATTCGGTTTAGATTAGTACAAACTTCTAACATGCAGCCTCCGTAAATCTTCGCGAAGATTTGAAGTTGGCAGGTTCAAACGAAGCGCAAGTATTCTTTCAGCCTTGAAAAACACATTACTTACTTACAGCAAGTGCGAATCAGTTCGAACCTGGCCCAGAGCTGCCTATGACCGCCGAGGAATCTAGATGCGCCGGCTTGAATTGGCTTTGCGCCCTGGACGTTGTGCCTAATGCAAAGTCCGTATCAGTTTTTTTGGCATCTTACTCTAGCTTTCCAAGGCTTACTGCTACCTCGGTACGCTTTCACGCCACTCACGGGCGTGAGAAACCGAGTGAGAATCCAGGTTCAGCCACCCTAAACAGGCGTTACGCTGGCTTATGCTCGTCGAGACCAAAGCTCGTGTCCTTTGCTATGGGAGCTTATCTGGATGTGCGCTATTCGAGATGCGCCCGGAGTCCGTTTTGTATTCAGTCATGCGTCTTCGGTGTAGGTCTCAACAATGTGGAGGTGAGATGAAAAGCCGCGCAGGTTCCGCTCCTTTGCCAAGAGATACTTGATTTTGATTGGTCAGATGCCTGCATGAACGCCTGTCTCAAGCCGAGCGGGGCGGGGCGTCCGTCAGATCTCTCCGAGAAGTCCCCACACACATGGAAGCTTTATCCACAGATCTATACGATTGTTATCTTTTGATGTGTATGTGATACATTTCCTTAGGCAATCTCTACACGATCATAATGTTGGTAACGCTGCACCTTAGGTGCTGCAAATGACAACAAAGCCTCGACAGAATCACTCTGCAATTGAATAGTGATGATGACATAAAAGTCTGATCGAGGCATTGTCAACGCCCAACCCCACAGCTTCAGCCACCTCGAAAATATCCATTGGGGAATATCGTCTTTTTGAGTAGAATTTCTAGATACAGGAGCTTTGCTCCGAAACTTCGAGAAGGCCTAGAGCCCACATTGTATATCTCGTTCACAACTGCTGCCCCCATAGTCTCACAACCCGCCAAATTGCACACCTTTCGGGCGCCAAATTCAGCCACGTCAAAGCATATCAACCACAGGTGAGATTTGCGCAAAGCCAGCCACGTCATGAATTGGAGTTGGTCCGAGCCATCGAAGCCTTTGCTGTAGGTCTCATAACACATCAAACGCCTTCAAAGTTATCTCTTTCGCTGATGATCAGCTTAATCCCCGTGTATGTCTTCTCGAGAGGCCCTTTCTATGCCTGTCTGCTCTATCCTCCGATTTTCTGCCCTCAAGCCTCGACCACACACTGTCTCTGTTTTCGCAGCCGATGCATACTGAAGGTTCTTGAGTCTGAGACTGCTGATTTGGACTTTTCCATTACGAGTTGGTTCCCTTCATCTTTCCACATGCGCATCAGCGACGCATCCCTGCTTTTTTGAAAAGCGATCGAAACTGCGACGTGGCAATTGAAGTTTCGACTTTCATTTTTTATGTAAATCTAGGCTATAGTAACCTTCGTGCCTAGGATTTTCTCGTCGTCGGACGAAGGCTCGAGGGGTCGATCTTTGCATACTCGCTGCCTCCGCTATCAGCTGATGTGCTGAATCCCACAGCTTTTGCGCTCTTTTCAGCTCTGATCTATCTCGCTTGGCCTGAGGGCCTTTCAATTTTCGCGCACTGGTATTCTTCGGCGGCTGCTTCAGCTTCATTTCCTCAGCGGCGGTCAAGGGCTGATTGATCAAAACAATCTCCTCCCGGCGTCCTCCAGTACGCCCAGCTTCAATCATGTTGTAATGCATATCGGTATTTGCATTGTAAGTCGTGACGATGCTTGAGCGATGTTCCAACCCTGTAACGATATAGTCAACGGTAAGACCACCTTTCATATCCGAATAACTTGGAGGCTGTGTTTTTCTTGCGGCATGTGGCCAAATAGCATGTTGGGGCACGTGCAGAGTAAGCTGATTTGGTGTGGTAAGCCGCTCGTTCCCCCAAACGTCGAAATTGCTTTCATTAACAAATCTCTGGATTATAGGGTCGAAATGCTCGGAGCGAAGAAAAGCGCGTCTACTCAAGCGAATATCCGAGGTGTTTCCAGGCATAAGAATGTCTATGTCGATTTCTCGCATCACAAGATTTGCTTCGGAAAGCTTGACTGAATTGGTTTCATCATCGATTAAGATCTTGAGCTCCAGCTCAGGCAAGACAGCCACCGAAGCCACGGGATGCCCTGGCTGTAAATTCGGTGTCAATGATATAAGTAAGTAATCTTTGTGCTTGTGACGGTGTTCTAAAGCTTCATACTCCTGATGTTCCGGTTGTTTAATTTGCTTCTCATTTATCAATGATAGTAAAGCGGCTCCACGTGACCTAAATGCTCTTTTGAAACGAATCAATTGAGCGTGTAGGCGAACATTGAGCGCTTTACGGAGATCGAGTCTTCCCACAAGCTGCTCTCGTGTGTTGTGCGCCTGCTCCTCTGGAAAGCTTACCTCTCCAGACTGTGCAGTAGAAATGTATGTTGGTTCTGCTGACCAACGGGCGTCGGCCGAGACTTCGCCTTGCTGAGCAAATCGACTTAATGCCTTCAAAGCCCGAAGACTATCATGAAAAGATTTCTTGTGGTAAGCCTTGTCCCTCTTTAGATCGAGGTCATCTTTTCTCATACTTGATAGACTACTCTGCCCCACCGGCGCAACCTTCACGTATCTCGACCGCTGATCCTGCTTACCCTGCATGGAAATACTATCGTGCGAATTGCATGGACTGATCGAAAGCGAGGACGAATAAAGTAGTGCTCCTATGTGCAACCTCTCTTGCTTGATCTGACTCCCTCCAAGTTTAGTAACCAGCATTCTTCGAACACCCTCAAGAGCCCTTCTTTCTCGCTCAAGGTAGTGAACTTCAAACTTTCATTTAGTCAGCTTGGCAGAATAGGGAGTACGAGGTCCTGACCTCCGCGACAGAGCCTGAATGAGGCGACGAAGCCAATGCAACCACAGTGCCTGTTGCTTTTCCTGTTTGCTCAAGGATTCTCGCTCGACGAGAGGTGCCTATCTCTGTCCGATCCGCTATGCGCACAGTGACAATCGAAGAGGCAATACTTTCGATCGTGCGTTTGAGGAGCACAAAGACGTCACCACAGGTGTCGAAGTCGGACCGTATTCGTATGATCTTATGTGGCTTGAAGGCCTCAAGCTTAATACCGAAGGTATCAGAGATTCTCTTCAAGATTTGTTTCGCTACATAATGTATTAGCGAAGCCGGTCAGCGGATCTGGAGAGGCATACGATGCGTAGTGATCAGGTCAAAGTCCTTAGCAAGGAGCCGCATTTCGACATCTCCCAATTCGCTTTCTGCACTCGGGTCTCTCAGTCGCCAAACTTTGGCAATCAAGGTTTGTATGAGTTCATCCTTTCTGGCGCGAGCGGGAATGTGGATTGAACCCTCGCTGGGTCCTTTTGTCCCAAACGCTTCCATCAGGGCTGGAACTACCATTTTAGAAGTAGAGGCGGTGGCAGCGCGCCATGCTGATCTTGAATATCTCGGACATTGGAAGCTGTGCTGAAGGTCTGTCTCATAGACATCGGCTTGCTGAGCACGTTGAAGATATGCACGTAGGTGGGCTGTAGTAAAACCATCACTGAGGCTTGATACCAAATCATCAAATCGGGCTTTGTTGGACGTCTCTTCGCTTGCCACGTGTTTCGACAAATATGTCGCGCGGACCCTCTCAATATTGTCGCAAGCCTGCTCCATGTCGACGATCCCACGTTCTTCATCGATGGCTTGTAAGAGCTCCGAGGGGCTTAGTGGAGTCTTCACTTCTTCTTCATCATGTATTCCTCTGCTTTTAAAATTGTTTGGCCTGGTTCGTGGCTCTTGATGATCTAGCACGAGAACTTCGGCAGGCTCTCCTAAAACATCTATGCCCAAGGTAAGTTTGCGCGTGTATTGCTCATCTTGCGAAGGGTGATCGTTTGGCTCGTATGTGATGATCGGTCCATCGTACGGTTCGTAGATAATGGGAAGCGTAGGACCTGGGGGCTGATCGTTGAATGCATGTACAGCTGCTTCTTGACATCGAACGGGATGGTTAGAGAAGCGTCTAGGGCTGTGGATTGTAATGGCTTGGGGTAGACTTCGAGCTAATTGACGATTTGATACGACTCTGTATCGATACCGTAGATAAATGGGAAGCCTCGTCCATGTTCTAGAGGGGACGACGGACATCAGACTTGCAACAAACATCCAAGTTCATGCAGCTGTTGAACTTTCTTCAACTCGGAGTTTGCGCGGAAATAAGTCACTACGGCGGACGAAACAGCGCCCTGCACCATGATTTTTCTGCTGGTTCACTCTCTGGCTTTGAACATTTGAAGTGATATGCTACGAATCAACATTGTTGCCAGTCCTCGTATTGAAGCCGATTATAGTAGGAGAAGTACATTACTCTATCAGACCAACTTCCCGGGTTCTCAGGCTTTGTGCACCAATTTACACTGAGTTGCGTGCGAATGACGGGCACTCTTTGCTTTTTCAACATCTAACGTGCAGAGCAACTCTTTGACCCTATAGCAAGCTCAACAGCTTCTAGGTGGCTCATGTGCGGAACCATATAAATAGTCAAGACTCGCCCGCTGCACGCCGATGCACGCTGCTGATCAGCTTCCTTTTTCGAATTCTACGCTTGGTCTCTTACTGCTTACCTCAAAAAGCGTGGAACTGAATTGCATGTTCGCACTCAATCATTGTCTTCTTTTCGCGTTCGACGAAATACTTGACTGCGCTTTGTGGGCGTGTATCTCTTTTGACATACAGCATCACGATGATCTTCCTGTTCATGCTTATTAGCAGGCTTTTCTGCTGTACTTCTGCGTCGATTGGTGCAATAGGTTCCAATGAAGTGCTAGCTAGTCGCAGCTACTTCTACGTCGGAGGCAACTACGTGGATGTATGCTGACCTTCTAGACCGTGATTCACGAATCAATACTGGCGTTGTCTGACTTGCCAAATAGGATGGCACCGGCATGCACCTATTTCAAGACCAGATGTACGTCGAAAGCCTGCTGCCGCCAGGTGGAATGACGCAGAGAGAGCCCATTGTCTTCCTACATGGACAAGCTCAGACTGGCACGGTGAGACGAGCATCATGTCCAGCCCTGGCCCCGAACCAAAAAAAAGCTAAAATTCGGATGTAGAACTGGCTCAATACACCTGATGGGCGCGAAGGATGGGCTTCTTGGTTTCTTCGGCGTGGGTACGTCGTCTACCTAGTAGATCAACCACAGCGAGGTCGCTCCGCATACTCGCCTGGCTATGGCTCATTGGCAACATACTCAGCCGAATACATCTCAAAGTATTTTACCGGGGTCCAGAATTATCATCTATGGCCGCAAGCACATCTACATACTCAATGGCCTGGTGTAAGTGATACTGTCCTAGTCTATGTGGAGATATGAATCAAAAGACACTCCACTCATACACAAAACCGTTGACATGTCAAGCAAGACGGGATTGAAGGGTGATCCTATCTTCGACGCTTTCTACGCCTCTCAAGTCCAATTCCAGAACGATACCGTATGGGCACTTCCCCCTGAAAACTTTTAAGGTTGATTTGTTGTCAGATAATCGTACAAAATATTACTCAACGTGCTGGTGCTGCTCTTCTGGATCGGATTGGCCCTGCAATCGTTATCACTCATTCCCAAGCAGGGCCGCTCGGCTTCCTGATAGCAGACACCCGGCCGGCATCAGTGAGGGCACTCATCAGTCTCGAGCCGCAAGGCCCACCGTTCGAAGATCGCATTCTCAGAAATAGCACTGCTATTGCACGTCCATATGGCCTCACCAACATTCCGATTGAGTATGATCCACCGGTTGTGGATCCTGCTACGGCCTTGCCGTACATGACATTGCCTCCTCCTGGACCTGGTCTAAGCGACTGTATCCTACAAGCGTCCCCAGCAAGACGATTGGTCAATTTGGCCAAAATTCCACATCTAGTGGTCACGTCGCAGGCGAGCTACCATGCTGCATATGATTATTGCACAGTACGGTATCTTCAACAAGGTGGCGTAATTGTGGATTTTTTGGACCTTCCACATGCTGAAATCCATGGCAATGCACATTTTGTCTTCTTGGAGAGAAACAACCTCGAGATTGCAGCTAAAGTAGAGGAGTGGATAAGGAAAAATGTCACGTCCAGATAGTCTACTCATAAACGTATCATTTAATGGCTTTCAACAGCCCTGACTCCAGGATCACACCGCCAGAAATTATAATCATTTGCAATCCGCATAACTTGCATATGCGTGCATAATATTTCCTAAGCATGTTGCTCAGGCCTTATGCCAAGCTGGTTTAACAGCGCATCGACGGCTGATCTAGTAATCCTTGCGAGGCATCGCCCCTCATTTTCAACCATGAATGCGAACCCTCTTCGATACTAAACAAAAGCCTTTCGCAAATTGCATCAGTCGCAACACCTGGAATGGCCTCACGAAAGAAAGCCGCGAAGCCGAAACTCAATCCCTCGAGTTCAGGAAGCCTGGATTCTTATATCAGCCCTAAAAAGTCTGTAGGTCAACCGGACGCGTCAGAGAGCGGACTTGATGATCCACATTCAATTGTTGCGGGGCCAGAGTCAACTGCATCGACTCCAGCTTCCTCACAGCCATTGAAACGCAAACGCGCCGACAAAGATATGCCAAACCCGAAATGCCTCGTCCGCAAGAACACCAACGAAGACAAAGGGCGCCGAGCGAAAGGCTATGCCCCACCCAGCACCTATGACCATCTACCTCCTCTCACAGATACTCTAATTCCCAACCTCTTGTGTGTCACGGTAGGCCTTAATCCAGGCATCCAAACCGCCACCAAGGGCCACCCTTACGCGCATCCTTCAAATCTTTACTGGTACCTCCTTCACACGTCTGGATTGAGTCCCGACCGCCGCCTTGCTCCTTCTGAGTACGTAATTTTACCAGAGAAGTACTCCATAGGTAACACCAATATCGTATCAAGAGCCACGAGGGATGGGTCGGAGTTGAGCAAAGAAGAGATGGTGGTCGGAGCGGGCGAGCTAGACGAGAAGATTCGGAAATGGAAGCCAGAGGTGGTGTGTCTCGTTGGCAAGAGTATTTGGGAAGCGGTATGGAAGTGGAGACACGGGAAGGCAATGAAGAAGCAGGAGTTCAAATATGGATTTCAGGATAAAGGAGAGAACATGGGGAGACGGCCCAAGAAGAAGAGCAATAATTTCTTCGAAAAGCCGAAGCGAGGAGCAGATAAGAAAGAAGATGATGCCGATGATGAGGACTTATGGGACGGGGCAAAGGTGTTTGTGGCGACGAGCACGAGCGGGCTGGCTGCTAGTCTGAGTAAGAAGGAGAAGGAGGAGATCTGGGCGGAATTGGGATCGTGGGTGCAGAGGAGGCGGGAGGAGAGGAGAGTAACAGGGGATAAAGGTATGGCTGTTGACAGCGTGGGAGATAATGATGCGGCGTAGGAGACTAAATAATGAAAGAATTCAAGAAAACCTGCCAAGGCTGCAGTCTCTTCACAAAGTCTTGGCAAGTCTTCACTTGCAAAAAATCGCGTCTTCAGATCTATGTCGTGCAACCAACTACAATCCCAACCGCAGCTTCACCATTCCCACTCTAAAATGCCCACAATAAACCGCAAACGACGATCTGTACGTATATCCTTCCACCCCAATCACCCTCGCACTAATCCCCCTCCAAGGCTCCCGAACCCTCCGCCTCACCCCCTCCAGCAACCCGCCGCCGACTCCCCGCCCAATCCTCTTCCCCCTCCACATCCAGCACGCCCAATACCTCCGACTCGGAACCCAACAGCAACGACAATGACACCAGCACATCATCGCTCTCTCTCGCCTCCAAAAAACTCCTCCGCCTCGCGCTCAGCACCACCTACGCGCGCCTCCCCCTGCGGCGATCAGACATAACCTCAAAATGCATGCCACCGCACACAGGCCGACAAACGAACTCCGTAATAAAAGACGCAAACGAGAAACTGCGTGCGGTATTCGGCATGGAACTAACGGTCCTCCCAGCGCGGGGGCAGGAAGAGAAAAGCGTGCGCGAAAAACGCGCTGCGCAGCGCAACGCCGCTGGTGGGGGAACCCAAGCTGGCTCCGGCGCAGCAGCAGGGGGAAACAAGAGCTTCACACTAACCAGCACGCTGCCCGCTCGCTACCGGCTTCCTTCCATCATCACCCCATCGCTCGTGCCTACTGCAGAGGAAGAAGGCGCATACACTGGCCTCGCGACGTTTATTATCTCGTTGATTTATCTGTCGCCGTCGCGGTCGCTGCCGGAGCAGAGGCTGGAGAAGCATTTGAAGCGGGTTAATGCGGAGGAATATGTGTTGGGGGGGATGAGGACGGGAGAGGCGCTGAAGAGGATGGTGAAGGAGGGGTATTTGGTGAAAGTGCGGGAGAGGGACGGAGGGGGAGGGGGGAGGAGACGGTGGAGTTTTTCGTGGGCGCGAGGGGAAAGGTGGAGGTTGGGGATACGGGGGTTGCGGGGTTGGTTAGGGGGGTTTATGGTGTGAGTGATATTGGTGGTGATGGAGCTGGTGGTGGTGGTACTGTTAGGGGAGGGAGGGGACGTGGTGCTGGTGGTAGGGCAAATAGGGATCGGGAGAAGGGAGTTAGGGAGGAGGTGGAGAGGAGGTTGGTTAGGAGTCTTGGGGAGGGGATTAGGGCGATGGAGGTTGCTGATGTGCAGGCGGACGAGAGGGAGGGAGATGAGGATAGGGAGGAGGAAGAAGAGGTAGAACAGCCCAGGAGGAAAAGGGGTCGACCTTCACGCGGTAGCGGTGGTAATGGTGGGGGTAGAAGCAGCAGAGGACGCGGTCTTGTGGAGGACGAAGTCGAGGTGGATGGTGAGGAGGATGAAGATGACGAGGAAGACGAAGAGCAAGAAGAAGATGAGGAAGAAGACGAAGAAGAAGACGAGTAGAAGTACTGGCTATAGCATGTATAAATAGCTACTGATTTGATGCAGCTCACACTACTAAAGGTCTACTCTCGGTTTTTACTGTGCGCTCTGCTTGCGCTAGGCTCGTTGCTGATGTTGGCAATTACCCTCGTAATGCTTGCTAGCAATAATATTGTCCTCCTGCAGACTCATGTCTTTGTTGACGTCGATATCATTTTCATCGCTCTTCCCACTCAATTGGACAAATGCTCGCGAGCATATTCCAAGCTTCTCTGGCACGACACCACCTCCACTCCTTCGCCATCGCCTTCTGCGCAAATACATTTCCCTCTTATGATTCAAGCGCACTCGATGCTGCTCGTATTGATGGCTACCGATGCTTGGCGTTTCAATGGTCCATAGATACTGCGCAAGAGACATTTTGGTGTACCATTCGATATAAGAGGTGCTCGGATCGCTCATGTTCCCATCATCGCTCTTCCTGAGTCTTTCTACTCGGATTTCTTCTCAGCTCCACACGGCTGTCATATGCTTTCTCTTCACCTCGCCTCGGTCGCAGCCTCTGCCCACTGCTTCATCAACCTCCCCGCGATCTCCGGACTCAATATCTCCCTCCTGAACTTCTCCTCCTGCAGCATCTTCAGCGCCATGATGGTGGGAGCGGGATACTGCAGAAATCGCACGTATTCGGGCTGAAGCCAGTATCGCAGGTACTTCAAATAATTGACGAATTCGGGTTTCGAGAAGTACTTCTGGGCAGCGAGTTGATTTAGGTAGAGAGGAGAGGAAAGGAGCGAGACAAATTCCAGCTCTAGTTCGAAACGGGTGGGTGGCCCTGTTGGAGGGGCGTTGGTCTCGGCTTCTGGTGAAGCGTCTCGGGAAGGGTCTTGGGCAGGGATGGGGGGAGGACCGCTGGTGGTATCTTTGGTTTGAGACGGCTGTGGGCTTGGCTTTGGTGTGGTTGGAGGGGCTTCCTGAGGTTGAGATGGCGGTGGGCTTGACTGTGTTATGGTTGGCGAGGCTTCTTGTGCTTCCTGTGTCGGTGGGGTCACATTCTCTGGCTGCTGCTGCTGTTGTTCTTGTGCAGGTTGAGCAGCCGGAGCAGAGGGAGGAACATTTAGGCCGGGGATCTGAAAGGCATTCATGTCGGTCTCTTGAGTTGTGGTAGGATCTTCGTGGGCACTTTCGCCTGGTGAGTTGGGCGCCTTCCGATCGGGATCGGGATCTGGATCCCAACGGCCAGGATTTATACTGCTGCCTGCCGAGGGGACCGTTGTCTGGTTCCGAGTAGTATGCAAAGCAGAATTTGAGATGCCACTTGGTGGGGTGGGAACTGTCCGATTGTAGGTGCTCTCGGTGCTGTAAAACCCAGGATTTGTACTGCTGCTTGCTGAGGGGGCTATCTGGTTCTGAGAATTGTAGAAATCACTATATGTTCTGTCGCCTGAGGCGCCGGAGAGTATACAGTTCCGAGTGGTGTATAAAGCAGGATCTGTAATGCCGCCTAGTGGGGCTGGAAGTATCTGGTTATTCGTGTTGGTAGCTACCTGACTCTGAGTTGTCTGGTTGTGCGTATGGGCTTGATTCTGAGGATTTCAATTAGGATTTGTACCCCAACCCGAGGGGCCTAGCTGATTATTGGAGTATATGGCATTGTGGAAATCACGATATTTCGTGAAGACTCGCCCAGCTGGTGCAGGAGCTGTGGGAGTGTGTGTGGTGGAGTCTATTAAGTTTAGGTTATGGTATTAGTTGGACAGCCACATTCCTTGCCCAAAAGCTGGCGAATAGTGGCCGGCCTCGCCGGCTCAGATACCTCGGATGGGTCTAGACGTGGGAGAGAGGCTTTCGGAGTTGCGGGGAGCGCCATGGCCTGGAGGAGTTTGGCGGCCAGAAGGCATGGCGTTATTTGGTTTTTGGCGGCATGCACCAGATGTGGGAGGGCAGGAGATCGGCTAACGCTGCATTCTCATTTGTTGGGAGGGGGAGCCTCAGTCTGTCGTGCCTACATAACCCCTGGATGATCCCCTGCTCTCTGGGACCCAAGTGTGGCTGCTTTGCGGGGAGCTGGCATATTGAAGCGGTCGAAGCGAAATCGCAGTAATAAGTAATAGCGGTACCTCGTTAGGGAAAACGGAAGTCACGATCAACGCCGACAGGAACATCGTCACCCTAACAACCCCCTACGTCGCCCCCACAACTCCTTCCTTTGATTCTCCTGTCCTCCTTCAACACCACTGACTATTATTATTATACTTGCATCAGTAGCAACAAATTCGCTGAATCATTTGCATTGCTATCTTTGACCTTCGGTACCCCTTACTCCCCCAAATTCTGTGCATTTTCAAGAGTTTGTGGCGGACCTCCTCCACCACACAGACCTTTCCCCGAGTCCTCCCCTACCCTCAGACCTTACAAACACCCTGCATCAACAGCCGACGACGTTCCATCGCATGCGCAATCTCAAGAGATAGAAGCAGCACATTCGAAGGCAGAAGATACAAAGCATCGACAAGATGTCACTAATTCAACCTATCCAGGTACATGGCACTGGTATGTGAATGATTCGTCCCGATAAGCGCATTGGTCCACTGGCATGCAATTACCCTTCACCTCCCCCTTTGGTGCACGATAACAATCAAACTCTGTCCCCCTCCTCCCTCGTCTACACTGCCTGCCCGGTTTCATCAACCGCAGCAAGAACAGGGAATCAATTCAACAGCATCACTAGAGCCTGAAACACGTCACCGCACAGCACACTTCCCTGCATGACACGACGCTGACCAGCTTTCCCACCTTGCAGGTTCATCTGATCGACAGCAGTCTCCTATCCTCTCATCCAATAATCCCTTCCGGAACCGTACCACTTCACCTACAAACAGCATCGCCCAATCTCCCGTAACCGCCGCTTTCAATTTACCCAACACCGCCCCTGAGCGACCTACATCACGAAATCCATTTCTCGATCAATCAGAGAAAAAAGACGATACAGTCGTCAATGTCAGACCAACTTCGCCATTGAGGGAATCTACAAGCATGGCGACGAGAATGTCGCCTTCCAAGCCACTTATGACCGGCCATACTGCCGAGTTGTTTGTATGTGACACTCCACCACAAGATTGCGCAACACTGACAAATTGCCAGGACAATCTAAACCTCAATGACAAACCACACACGAATGGCAGCAGTGAGAGACCAGGAGTGCCTCCCTCATTTTCAAATGGCCCTCGCATCCAACCGCGTTCGGAGAATGTGCCACCTAGAGCTGGACTCTCCGGTCATCATACATCTCGCTCAGGTGAAGAACGATATCGACATGGTGCGAAGCCCAGACGGCCGAATGAAGAGTTGGATATATTTGCAGATCCACCGACAGGCGACAAAGCTCGTCCACGTCCTTCAAGGCGAAACTCAGATTCGTCTCTTGCTAGCAGAATGCTGAGCCCTGAGGAAGAGCGACGCCGAAAAGAGAAACATAGGCGTGAACGGGAAGAGCGGCATAAAGATGGCAGACGTGGACCTCCAAACTCGTCGAGGTCAAAGAAGCCAAATCAACGTCTAGATATCATTGACTCTCTGGATGTGACTAGTATCTACGGCAAAGGATGTATGTTTCTTCTAACCTGAAGCCTTTCTGAACCTGTACTTACAGACTATAGTATTCCATCACGACGGTCCATTCGACGCCTGCAACCCCGCTCGTAACCGCAAAGGCAGCCGCCGTCCCGCTCCAATGGAAGCCTTCGCCAAAGACAGCGCCAACAATGCTTTAGGAGGCTCAGGTCCCGTTCATAAAGACATAAATTTCGATCAATTCCATGGCCGTACAGAACAAGGATTTGCCGACTACGCCACCTCTGGCTCCAGCAATCCAGCAGCCCAACCCGTGTCTTTTGCAACCTACGCTGGCGCCCACGTCACGCCTGGAGCAGGGGCCCACGCTGGTGTAGACCGAGCCAATGGCTTCAATCCCGTGGAGGTCATTCCTGTCGTGCATGGCGACGAAAGCTTGGGTCTAGGGACAAGCACATTCCTAGAAGGCACACCTGCCGCCAAAGCAGCCATCCAACGTCATGAAACCGACGACCGCGGCGCTGACGGAGGTCTTGGTAGGAAGAGGAGTTTAGCTCAACGAATCCGCGGCATCTCCAACGCCAAGTCAAAGCCCTATCATGGACGGATGACCAGTCCCGAAGGCCGACCTCACCTCACCAGCGGGGAAAGCCAGAGCGCTGGTGGCATGCCCCGGATCAATGAGACAAAACCCTTCTTTGAAGGCTATGATGAGAGGAAAGGGCGGAGTATCACGATCGCGGAGGATAGGAATCGTAGAAGCAGTTTCGAAGGAGGCGCAGAGGATAACATCACCGTTGGCAGCAGGACTGGCGCTGCAGAAAATGGGAGATCGAGGGCTTTGAGCTCGCCTAAACGCGCTGCGCCGCCTGCACAGCTTGAGAGGAGAGTCACCGATGCGGCGAATGGCAATGGGAAGGAGGAGACAAGCGGCAGCGGGAGCGGGGGGTTCTTGAGCAGGGTTAAGAGCTTGAAGGGGGGAAAGAAGGGAAAGGCTTAGACGAAGGGTGAGAGACGCCACTCAGAATGATGGGCAGATTTTGTCGTGATGGGTGGGCTTGTTGGATGGATTGAAACACGACAGGCATCGCTCGCTCTGGCCTTGCTACGCAACCTAGGAGGTGGATGGTGGTAGGATTGGATAGGCGATGTGAGGTGACTATGGCACAGTATTGAGATTCAAGAAGGCAGGGTGGACTGAACACTCTGCCGGCAGATGGGTGGTCTGCTTATAGAGGGAGATAAAACCAATGCTTTCATGTCGCCGTGTCTTTTCCGTCCGGCAGGCGTTCGGATATTATTGAATTGTGTGTCTAGATTCAGTGAATGGACGCGCTGAAATTATTCTGGCTTCATAAGGGGGTTATGACTGCTCTTGTACACGCTGGGTTTTATATGGTTTTCGCCGTGTCGATGATGGATGTTATCCTTTTTGCTTGCTTGCTTGCTTGTCTGTCTGTTTCTTGGGGTTGGGGGGAAGGGGCGCGAAGGTCTGGTCTATTGATGCCCATTCTGTTCCGCCTTGTTGTGTCGTATGCCCTACCCTGCCCTCTTTCCTATTCCGCACCAGATATCTTGTCGCATCTTTTATGACGGTATCGATCTCAATCCACCTTTGTCTGTCCTCCCTTAATTTCATGTCCTTCCACTCTCTCCCTTCGTATCGAAGCTCTGACTACTTAGCAAATTATGGACAGCGCTATGGATAGGTGTAAATAGGATCGGGATAGGTGGGGTAGCTGTGGTCAAGCTGGTGGTAGGTCGGCAGGTAGGTAGGTAGATCTCAAGCGTTATCCTCATCCTCTTTCGCAGGCGGCCCCACCGGCCGGATCATCTGCTCGACCATCCGCGCGCGCGTCACTTCTCTGCTTTCCCTGTATTGTCGTCAGTCTAGCAGGCTTTTATTGGCGCTCATCACTTTGCCCCTTTCTTTTCTCCTGCTTTTTTCTGAGCCCGGTGGGAGTAGAGGCCGTGAAAGGGATAGGGGAGGAGCCAAGGATATGGGAGGGGACGGGAGGGAAGTGGAGGGGAAAAGGCGACATACCCCATACCAACACTGATATACTCCAACAGACTGGGATGCCCAACGTAGCTGGCGAGCGTGTCGCGGTGGATGTTGTTACTCCATTCGTATTTCGTCACGTCCGCGTGGCCGGTGCCAATGTATTTGGATTGGAGGTGGAGGAGGTTGGATGTTGTGCGGAGTTTGTCGGCCTATTGAGGGAGGGGGAGGAGGGGTTAGCTTGGATGTGTGGGAGGTGGGGGAAGGGGATCAAGCGGAGATGTTGAGGGTGGTGAGGGGAGAAATAGAGGATGTCATGAGCGAAGAGGCGGAATGAGATGACGAGGGACGGTGAGGCGGGTAGCAAGCATGCGGAGAGGAAGGAGAGGTCAAAAGCTTACCATATTTGCGAATGAAGCTGAGGTGTAGAGAGAGGTTGGCGACTTGACGAGTAACAAGATTGCAGGCTTGAGGTGAACATTATGTAAGGGGCAAGTTTTGTGCAGTCTGGAAAGGCTTGGCAAGCCCATATTTTCTGCAAAGTCATGCACAAACGTACGTCTTCGCTTCGTAGCTGTTCCTAAGGTGGCTATTCACAGGCACGTCAGGAAGCCGTGATGAGTAATGCCTCTCATATCTTTCTTTCAATATGATTGCTCTGCTGAGTACTTCAAAGATAGACGTGGAGTGGCCCTCGTCATAAAGTTGAACGAGTGTTGATCTTGATTATTCTATCTGTCATGAAATACATGTTCGCAGTGTCATAAAATCCATGTCCTCCCCAGATCTGCAGACTTCACCGTCAACAGAAGACTTCATTAGAGACGTCCATGCGAAATTTGATTCATTGCCGAAGAATTGCAAGCCTGTCGATAGTGCTAAAGTTGCCAAATGGACTGTTCTTAGTGGGATTGGTCTGATCTATGGTTTGTGACTGTGTATCTTCATTGTTGTTTGCACCGTGTTTTGACTAGAGGAAAGGCGATGGACGATCTGAATGTGTGGCTTTAGGGTAGGCCTCTCACTCGTGTACATCGCTTTCGACCAACATTGACAGCACCGGTATGAGATGTCTTCCATATGAAGATGTCAAAATAGCGGAAGGCTGCGTGTTGCATGACTGGCATGCAGAGACATTGGCATTACGCGCTTTCAATTACGTTCTTCTACAAGAGTGCTGGAGCCTCCTTGAGGATCCGGGGAAGAAATCTACATTTCTTGAAAGGAGATGGCAATCTAGCGAAGAGGAGGCCAGCCGTACTCCCGGTGGCAATCCACATTTTATCATTCGCGAAGACGTCAAGATAGTAATGTATAGCTCAGAAGCGCCGTGTGGAGACGCCAGCATGGAAATTCTGATGTCCGAAGTCGATGATGCCACACCATGGCCTATTATCCCAGAAGGCCATGAGTGTACTCTAATGCCAGGACGGGGTTATTTCTCTGAACTTGGCGTCGTGAGAGGAAAGCCGTGTGAGTATTTTCGCTTCTTCTGTACGCGGCAAGTTTTGAGATTTGACTGGGAGATGTAGGCCGTGCCGACGGTCCATTCTCGGCATCTAAGTCGTGCTCAGACAAGCTGGCGCTCAAGCAATGTAGATCTGTTCTTTCAAAGATGACAGCAATGCTGATATCACACGAGAATGCATATATTCGTAAGCTAGTCTTACCGCGCCATGCGTATCATCAAGAGGCTTGCAGACGTGCCTTCGGGAGAGACGGTCGTATGGAGGGGGCGTCCCATTGTCTCCCAAAGGATTTTCTTTTCAGACCGTTTGCCTATGAGGTCACAGGTCAATTGTTCGAATATTCCAAGAACCACGCCCGAGAGCGGAGGCAGACAGTTCAAGGATGGAATATCTCTGGTATCTGGACACAGACTTGGCAGGAGACCTTAAGTAAAGGCATCGTGCATGGCAAGAAATCGGACGATCCTAATCGTGCCAGTCGTCTGAGCAGAAGAGGAATGACACAATTGTTTATGAAGATTCTGACGACGCATCTTCCAGAACTTGACCAGGGTTGGGGCACTTATTGCGACATCAAGAATTCTGACGGACACTTGAGGTTGAGAAAGGAGGCTAAGAGTGTCATGAGAGATAAGGTATTTAATATGTGGCCGCCGAATGCGGAGGATGACTTTGCTGTGGTACGATAGGCATATTCCTGTCCTATCTTCTCAGCCTTTCACCCGGGCGGCCCTGACAGACTCACTTCGAAAGCGCAAGAAAGGTCAAATTGAAGACTAAAGAACCAGAACGACGGCGATGGTGCTCTTGAAGTTGGCATGAGAGAGAATTTGGACATGTGATCCAAGGCTTCGATTACGGATAGGGACAAATTCAATAGCCAAAGATTAAAGCACTCTAGCAGAAGCTATGCGATGCATCAATGGATACCGATAGTCCCCGAGGTATAGAAACTAAATCCAGATGATATGCTCAACATGGCAATTCCACTCCAATCCATTCTGGCTTGGAGAAATCGTGGTTGGGAATAGATCTGCGAAGATTCAGATTTCGGATATCCTCCTGACATCTCAGACGCTTTCTCGAACTACAATCGCTCCTCATTTGTCCAGTAGTGAATCGCCCCCAATGCCGATATTTGTGTCTCAATCAGGAGACTTGCAAATTGACATCTCAGCTACCATGAACACACGGAATACGCGACCATCAAACTTTGCAGGACATCGGCGCGACTTACGCTTCTGCCTTCGAAGTCGCCGTCCTCCTTGTGATGTGGCAGCTCGGACCGTGAGCCGTGCAGTCTTTGTCGAACAGAAAGTCGACGACATACATCAACCTCATTGTCATCCCAACGTCTCATCCCTACTCTTCTTGCACATCTTCTTTAGCCACGCAACAACCGACCCCATCCACATTTCTGCAACCCCCCCAATTTCTCTCTTGTCACCTCTTTTTTCAGGGTCAAGCCGCTTCTTTCATCTTCATCCACACTTTCCTCTCCAACTCCCTCGCCTGCGTCAATTTCTCGATTTCCCCTCTCACCGCCTCCCCCTTCCTCTCATTCTCAGCCATCCTTTCTATGATCTCCCCTGCTATAATCTTATACCGCTTGCGCATCTCGTCTGCTCCTAAGGTACGGAGTATTTCGTTCTTGCGGTCCTCGATTACTGCATTTTCCAAGGGGGAGGGCCAGCGGGAAAGGCGCTGGCAAGGGCGCCGGGGAGTAGGTCTATGGGATGGTACGAGAATGGCAGGGATGAGCTTGTGGTTTCGGGGGTGGGTTCGGGGTCGGCTTTGGTGGCGGCAGGGGGGAGCACGGGGGCTGGGTCGGTCATTTCGATGTCTTCATTATTGTTGTTGTTGTTGGTGTGATCCTGAAGCAGGGGCGGGGATGGTGGGTTTTGAGGTGGAGAAGATGCAAGCGGGGGTGGAGAGGGGGCGGGCGAGATTTGTGATGCCATTTTCCAGGCATCCAGCTCGTGCGCTGGCGCGCTTGTGTGTGTTGTATTGAGTGTCAAGGATCCGGTGGAGCGTTGCTTGATGCCAAAACGGAAATGTTCCGCTGGGCTGGGATTGGGTGATTTTGTCATTCTCGCTGGGATTTTACGGTCGTTGACGATGGATTTACAGTAGCCATGACCGCTACAATCCAAGATTCACAGAAACAATTCGTCTTTTGGTCTGCCCGCTCCAGATTGTTTGAGATTTGCCCTGTAACGCATAACCTACCAAAATCCTGCAAAAGGACATGTCCGCCAAAATGATGCGCTGCAAGCCTTCTTCCATGATGTCTACGATCGTGTGAGAGGTTTAGAGGGCTCTGGTATTGTCAATTCAAAGCCTGTGGTCTAGGCCTCGTGTGCGAACGAGCGATTGTCGCGGGTTGTCAGCGTATTCTAGCATTCAGCCTTTCACATAAATTCAGGCAACCGCGCGTATTTTCAACAATTTCTCCTCATATATATCTACGAAAGCATGGAGCTATACAGCTTTCCTACTCCTACTGGATCGCGTTATGATTTCAAATATCTTGTAAGACCTAAGAGCACTAACAACATTTCTGGTCTACCAATTGAGAAGCCTACGAGTTGTAATGATAATGAAGAATCGTTTTTCTCTTCGTTTAGCGATGTATCTTGGGACGGGATGGACGCATTGACCTACAAGAGACTCTTGAATGGCTTGACTTTTAGGCCGGAGACGCAATTGAAGATATTTGAGAGTTGTGTAAACACCGACAAGAGTCTGAATTACGAGTGGCAGTCAGAAGACGATATTCGTAAGAAGCTGTCGGATTTGGTAAGTTCTCTCTCTTGACATATTTTGTACGACCTTTTCTTTCCAAACATTCAATCGCCAACATACTCTTGAAAGACTAATCGCGAATGTAAACAGAGGGATGAAGCGACAGGAGGCCTCACTGTCGTGTCTGTCCCACCAACTTCCCAAAACAGACACCGCGCAAATCTGAGCTGACATCTCACAGCGTTGGACATGGGAACGGTAGATCTGTACCCCTCGGTATCACAACAGCGTGCTTCCAAGAAATCACGACGCACCTTCGGATCCCGAGACATTTCCTCTCAAGTCTAAACTCCAACAATGGGTCGCTATCACATTTTACAGAGTACCGGAACATGGATGGTGGATATCACAAAACGCATCTTCGTAAGTCTCGTGATGGCATCAATAGGCGTCTCTTGAGAGAACGTAATTCTGACGAGGCAGATATCCTAATACAAACGACAAAATCACCGTCTAGAAGTTTCTGTTGTGCACTTCGGGTGAACATCAGAAACGGCGCGCTGGCGGTCCTATTTTTCGACAGGGATGAGGAATCTGTTAACGAGATTCTTGGACGTCTGAGAGTACATCAAAAAGTGCTACATGAAAATCCGATAGCGTTCCTGAGCCTCTTGTTTGAAATGCATTGTCATGCGAGCGAGCATTACCGAGCATATCTAGACGACCAAGTGCTTGCAGTCGAGTGCTCAACGCGAATGACAGCCTTTCATATACAGACCAAGTATCCTGCAACGGAAACTGACTACGAGGCCCTGTCTGGCCCGCTGCATAGCTGCAACACCAATCTCATTTTTCTGGAGGTCATTCTCGAGTTTGAAGCACGATTTGGCGACTTTTGCAAGCAAGTTCATTCGACGTTCGCACAACTTCGTCGCGAAGAAGGTCTAGAAGACTTTTCCCAGTATCAGCAGAATATGTATATGCAGGGTGTTGATTATCAAATTCAAGCGAACGAATTCAGACGCGTCCAAGCCAGAAGTTTGCAGAAGCGTATTCAATCGCAAATGAGCGTGGTAAGCCATCCTCAATTCCTGGTTCTGCAAAGAACCTAGTCAGTCAGCTTCTGAGGATGGTACGAGAATAGCTGACATTCATTGATAGCTGTATAGTCTCATCTCGCAAAAAGACAGCCGCGTGAACCTGTCTGTAGCCGAAGACTCGAAGAAGATCGCCGCTGCCACAATGAATGATAGCAAGGCAATGAAATTAATCGCGCTTTTGACCCTTGTGTTCCTGCCAGGCACGCTTGTGGCGGTAAGCATAGCCATATCCCTAAAACTACATTTGCTGGCAACTGATATCTCCCTTCTGGGCAGACAATCTTCAGCACAGGCATCTTTGATCTTCAGGGCTCACCCCAACACCCTCAAAGAGTGAATGTCGCTCCCTTGTGGTGGGTCTTTGCCGTTGTCTCTGTGCTTCTAACGGTGGCTGTCGTACTTGTGTGGGTGGCGTTTCTAAGGTGGAGACCTAAATGGACGCCACCTGTGTCGCAGCCCGAGAAACTTGAATGAGAGCTGGGACTGGGATTGACTTTTGTATTGGAACAGCTCCACCGCACACTGAGATTTTGGAGATTATTGGAAATACATTACCCTGCATGACTAGCTGATTTATCGATACCAAGACTACTTCCATCCTATTCAGTTGATTGGACTTCTCTTAAGCGTCAAATGTTTCCGTGTGGCGGTCCGTTGAGCTACCAACTATCTTCAAGCGACCATCACCACCGAGAATTCATCGTCCATGAACGACGCATCTTCTTACGGAGATGCTGGATCTTTGCGGAGTATATGTAGTGAAAACAATGAATCAGAATATCTGCCACTGTGCTAGCTGTACAGGAAATGACAATTCTCTAATCGCCGAGATCACTGAGCCCGCTCCCGACTTCACATGATGCAACAAATGGGCTTGAAAGTGCGAGTATGCTTCCTACTCAAACGTGAATTCTCTTTAAGCTCTGAGGAATGCCAACTTTAGCCACGCCGCTCCCATTTTCTTCAATCTCCGCCGTGGCGAAGTGGATGTCTTACTTTCGTTGATCACATGCTACAATACGAAGCTTGCCTATTTCCTGAATGTCCCCACCGTGCGTCGCTTTTCCTGGTCTTTCAGGCAATCCTTTCATATTGTGCCCTTCATTCTAACAGCATTTTCTCTTTTACTTTTGGCCGCAAGCCGCATGCGTCTTTTGCGCAGGTTATTTCTTTGTCTTAAAGCACTAGTATGAATGGACGCCACAAGTTGCCATTTCTCATCATGGACCTGAGTTAGCCGAATTCATCGCACAAGATATGCAGTCACGGGGGACTTTCAATGCAGTCCGCTTTGAGACTTCGCCCCAAAGATTCACCCTTGAGGACTTCACACGAGACAATTGTGACATTCGTGAGTCACAGGACGTTGAATGGTGGCGGGGGCTGGCGGTACTTAAAGCTTCTCATTTCTCGCTCTTCTATTTTTCTTTCATCATCCTCTTTCGTTCCATGTGGGGTCTGACTACTTCAACCTTTCGACATCATATCCTATGTTTCTTCTTGTCTATTCATGAGTGTGACTTGCTATAAAAATATAGTACCTTTGTCTCTTCTTTCCTAATTTTGTCTGGCTTCGGAGACCCTCGACTCTGGCAATTCGAAGACTCCTTCCCGTCTGTGCGAAGCTGCCACTTATTGGCATCCTTGGTGTACATTATGCAACAATTTGCTCTGTCAGACATTACCTTCATTCAACTCACGCTAATCCTGCCAATGCAATCGACTGGATACTGCGGAGCACTCTCCCCACGCTTCGGAAATCGACCTGATCTGATAAGCTGGACTCGTTGTCCGCCTTCGGCAAATGTTCTGGCACAAAATTTGACTAAATCTCGCACTACATTGAACACAGAGGCAAGCATCCAGCGACATTCAAGCAGATTCCACATCATGAAGGACTTGTGCAATTGGCCGTCGATCAGAAGCCACAAGGATGCTCGAAGAATGGCGCCCCTCGCCTCTCTCACCCTACTCAACCGCCTCACCAATGCCGATCACCAATATCCTACTCATCCGCCTCACCAATCTCCATTATCAATATGCACCTCCCGAAGCCGCTCAACAACACCAGGTGGCCAGTCTGACTCGCAAAGAGGCTAGGAGTAGTGATGGCTGGCTCTGGGAGCCGTAAGTGACGAAAACAGTACGCCAGGCCCGCCACGACCTCACCGCCTCTCAAAGAATCTCAAATTCCGTCAAGATGAGCAACCAAGTTATCCGAAGCGAGGACAATGTCAATGATTTGCGCCCCTTTGAGCCTCAGCTTACGGATGAAATTCCCGCACTCCGCGCAACGCTGCTTCAGCTGCTTGGGAAAGGTTCATTAAATCGAGGCTAGTATTCATCTACTGATATAAGCTCTGCTCTTCCAAACCAGATATCTCACGACTCTGAGCTCGAAGCTGGAGGATCGACGTACGATCATACAATGGCTAGAGTATTTCCGAAGGCCATCGACAGAATTACTGGGTATGAATCTGTCAACCCTGGTGCTAATCACTAGAATTATGTCTACAGACTGGAACGAGTCATTGAGGACAGTGAAGTCGAGTCCAATTCTACCATTCAAACTTTGCTCCTTACAGTTAAATAGATGACGACAAGCCAGACGCCAGATGCGATCAACCACCTGAAGTAGGGGGCGCCGACTCTGGTATGAAAAACTTAGTCAGGCATTTCTGACCCACTACTCTTCGCAAAAACCGTTTACAGCGACATCCGGGTCATTCATTGGGTCGTTGTGTGCTGGTATACGCACGCGAGACACAAACGTTGTTACATCTTAAGGAATGAGCTGCTCTACTGAAACAATTTGACGGCAATGCACAACTTATCGCAGAAGGGGAGAACTCTCGAAGTACATGGGGAAGAAGCTCGAGCTATTCAACGAGAGTTACCGGCAGAATTGAACAACGAAATAGCAAGAAAGATGGTTCGAGAATTGGATGAGAAAGCGATTAGGCTAGATGTAGGTGCGGCATAAAGGCAGGTGTTTCAACAGTGACGACTGGTAGCGACAAGCAGTATGCCTCACTCAAAGAGTCAACCCAGAAAACCATCAACTACGCTTACACATAATCTGGACATGAAGACCAAGCTAGAGGCTATCAACGAGGACCTTGTCCACGCCATACGGTCTACTCCAAGACTGACACAATCGTTCCTCCACATCCTCGAAAGATGATACCCATATCTGGGCCCAAACACAAGACTGATCTCTCGTCAATAATTCAGCCATCATATCAAACACCAGCCCACGGCAGCGCAAGACATTTTCGATTTGAAATCATTACCGAATGCAAGCTTCTAGGGACCCCGGAGACTATTTAAAAAGAACAAGTCAAAAGCGTGCCAAAGCAACGGGAAAAGTAAATTCTCAATCGCTTCCTTTGCGGCGCAGTGTAATTCTGATTGCGTCCGCTGAGAAAGATTGGAAGATTGAATGATTCATGTTTCTGCCGGTGCTCCCCTGTCGAAAAAAGGGGAGTTGACAAGAGGCTTGTGACTAGCATGATTAGCCGCTGTATCAGTTGTTGGCTAGATCATATAATCTTTGGGAAAGCCCATCACACGTCGCCACGAAAGGGAAAATCATTCAACAATTCAGTAACACTCTTAGAAGGCGCACCCACGATAGGATGTCAGCATCTAATCGACCGTGGTTTACAAAGTCCGCTCTTTATGATTCTAAAATCACAGAGATCAGCTTCTGGCGCGGTTGGTCTCGACGGCCATTGTTACTCTCTTTTCGGGAGAAACCGAACTTCGATATGTCCTTCGTCTTCGATCATCAAGAAGCAAGACTCTGTGCTGTCTTTTGGGAAACGTTCATGACTGGTGACTTTCAAATTGACTGTAGTCCATTAAGCTGAGAGAAATGACACATTCCTAAGCAACCACTTTCGCGCCATCGTCAGCAACGCCCCCAATTTCAAGCTCATTAAGACACTATTTCCGCACCATCAGTCGTCTCAATTCAGAAAGTGTAAGAGTATGATTCAAATGAAGCGCTATCGGAAAACCAAAGCCGTAGGCCACAATAAGATTAGCATGCCTGAACTGAATAGGTGAAAAATGAGCTGACATCGCGAAAGATATCAACGTTGGATACCGAGTCGCCAGGTCTTAGTGACCACTGATTTTAGTAAATGGTGCCGAGACAATCTTTTTCGAATGTGTATAGTAAAAACACCGTGTAATAAATGATGAACCAATTGGACTTCCTCTGCTCTCAACGGAAACGATGCCACTGTCCTAGGAATACGAGAGTTTTGCCAAAAAGATGATCACCAGACTGACTTCCACACGCAAGGAGATTTCGCCAAGAAAATCGTACTGCTGTGGCTCTTGTGGGAATCAAGCAAGCAGCCTTTCTATGGCCATCAAGCACTCTACAATACCCAAAGCCAGGCAATACCAACGATTAGTGTCATTCTTTAAGTGATACTACTAATTTGGAGGAGAATTATTGCATCAGGTCAACGAGCGACATGACCGATGTCCTTCAAGGAGGACGGGGAGGTCATAGGCTTCGAGCACACGAACTAGTATCAATTTTTCCGCTCAATCTTTCAACAAGCCAATCTTCTCTTCTCTAGCTAACAGCTACGCCTGGGTTGAGGTTGACTTGTGTGAATCCCGGAGAGAAAGCCACACCTTGAAGAAGATCAAAGATCTTTCTCGATCTTTTGATAGACCACCTAATTTGCTCTGATTACCGCAATCTCAACGTTCGGCGCTGCACAGGGAGTCGACCATTGCTCGTGATAGACCTCGGACTTCTTAACATACCCGATACTCCAAATGCCAGTGATGATTTAAACACAGTTCAGGAGCCAACTTAGCTCATGCTCGCAGATTTGCCAAGTCGATACCGAGATATGAGACGCGATAGTAAAGAGAATATCGCTGCCTTCTGATAGAAGTGGAGACGTTCCAGCACGATATGTTAGGCATCGGCCTGGACAAATAAAAGCCCCTTTCCTCTTCCATTTCATTGTGCACACTCTCTTCTCCTCATTCCAGGCTTTCAAGCAGTCGCAAAGCCCACAGTCAGAGACTATCCAGTCCACTATGATATTCTCTACCTAAACTCTTATCGCGTTTGTTCTTGCCACTTTCTGCTCAGCTCAGACCTAAACGTTCAGTGCATTACCCGACTGCGCTGTAAGTTTGGAATAATTCCACGGTCAACACAGATCTATTGACTGTCATTGTCTTCTAGAAAATCTGTGCCGCCAATCTTGCAGCCAAGTGCAAGCCAGACGTCACATGCAGCTGCACGAACTACAGTTTCATCAAGAGCATTCCTTGTGCATCGTCCACCAGAAGCCGACC